TACTTAAGCTTACAAGCTCACAAATAACTGCTGTTTATAAAAGAAAATTTTGACTTTATACCGTGCAATTGAAAAAATAATTAATTAAATGACCAACTAAGTAACAATTTTTCTTTTGAACTCTCTTACTTTTAAAATGCCTCACGAATGCATTTATTAATTCGTTTCACTAAACTTTATGATTTCTCTCTTCCATCCATTTATTTTAATGAATTCATATTGTTAAAGTTTTTTTCTCGTCACTTCATTTTTTAATTTACAAACATATTTCCATATTTTTAGCTTATTTATCAATATCGTTGTACAACTATGATATTCTAGTGTAAACATTAAACTGAAAAGTTATGACGCTGTTATGAAATATATGAGAATTGAGATTATCACTGAAAATGTTCCATTTTGTAAAATACTAAAATTGATTGTTTTTGTTTTAACTCTTGAAGTAATAGCATTGACTCGTTTACAGTAATAGAAGCAATCATTTAACACAGTGTTAAATTCTCACGACTTATCATTTATTCCCGTGTGATAGCATATCTCGTCGAATGAGGAACAAAAATTGTCAGTGGGAAAGGTCGCCATCACCGTGTTATAGTGATCCATCAGAAAAAACTTTAAGACTATTTTCCTTATTTTTTAGTATTTTGAGATCTGTCCATTAGAGCATGAATGGATCATTATTTTTTGTTTTCAGTGCTAGAACAGACACCAGAGTTGTTAAAAAAAAATCAGTTTAATGCCTCTCTCATTTGCTGCACGTACTGCCGAGTATAAGATAATATTTAAGGCTCTTTATATCAATCCTTTTTAATTCCTTTTAATCTAATGGCTGATTAATTCAGCAGAAATCTTACAAAGGAAGTTATTTTTATTACGGTTGTTTTAATAGACATTAATGGTTGAGTATCCAACCAATCATTGTTAGGCTTTTTCTTCAACATTCAATGAATTCATTCCCTGATAATGATTTGAAAACTGTTTACATGTGGTTGATTTTTTTCATGATTCATGCAAAAGTTAATTTATTTCAAATGGTCAATAAAACTGAAATGTTAGACTTATTTCTGATAGTTTTATAGAAGTTAACATAAATATCATGTCAATCAATGTTTCGTCCCATATATGAAAGACGATTTCTTATAAAACTTGTTGTTTTTGTAAAGAATCGGTTCAGCAAACAGCTAAAAATTAAAAAAATATGCATCTTCTCTCAGTCTCATTTTATAAGCTCTCGAATTAAATGAACCCTTTTGCTTGAATGGATCCGGTGTGCAGAATAATGTTTCAGAATTGAGTTATCTAAATTTTCGAAGAAATGATTTATGTAGAATAGAAATATCCAAATACAGACATATATTGAATTAGTAAGTGCAGTGAAGTAGAGTGCATGAAAACTGCCTATTTATTAAAGTCCGGAGGGAAAGCTTGATTAGTACTGATTGAATTCTTCGCCTGGCTTCTAATGCTAATTCGTCTATATATTATCTTTTCCTTTCCTTTTCGCTTGTCACATTTCACAAATTTCCACTTATAAAACCACCAAACGAATTGAAGCGAGAGAAGCAAAGAGTCTTTATTCATTAACAAATTGATGACACATCTAACATGAAAAAGTTATTCCAGCGTCTCGTGTTGGAGTTAAGCTTTCTTAAGCTTAACAAAATGATGTAATTGTGTGAAAATTATTCTTTTTCAATAATTGCATCATGCACTAATGCGTGTATATGTGTTTGCATTCTAGGAAAGTAACAAGATAACAGAATTTTTGTGGCGAAAAATCGCTGTTTTGCAAATTTTTAAAAGCTTAAAAATTATTATAATGCTGATTACCCACTTGTGAACTGAGTACTGCTAAAATGAATTGAACGGAAGAAGTGGAATGTAGACTTGAACTATTAACTGACCTATTTCATCCTTTATCATTTATCAGTGGTTTGACAAACCAGCTAATTTTCCATATGATGTGGTTATTAACACTTCAAATTTTATGTTTCTTATCAGGAGATTAAACCATGCTTATTAATACCAATTTCAATTTATTCTATCATTATTTTATAGCAGATTGGAATCAAGTTTTTAGTTCTGTAATTAGTCAGCATGACATTCCACATGTAAAGCGTAAATTTATGAACTTATAATAATGTTTCTTATTCTTAACATTTTATTTGAAATTGCTTTATGTTATTTATTACTTGTCAAAACTGAATCCAACTAAATGTATCCTAATTGAACTTCTAAAAACCAATTTACCGGTTGGTATAATCAAGTTTTGTCCCAAAAAAGCGAAGAAAAAATTAATTTAACTTCTGTTTATCTATTTCCTTCCTTGCTTAGTTTTATCTCAATGTTTCTGCTCTCAGAAGAGTGACTGATAGGAAAACTGATTGATATTATTTTTGTCTACTGCATCCTTCAGTCTTCTAAAAAGCTTTGCAATAATCTGATTCTGAGGATGCTTAAATTACTTATTTGAAAAGAATTTAGATACTTTTTCCGAAGGAAATTTTGAAAATTGATCGAGAATTTCAATTCTCAGTATCAATCATTTTTAAAAAATGAAAAATGAAGCTCGTATGAGGAACAGCTCACCTCAGTTTAGGTATTACGATTAAATTATATTAAGAATTGAAGTACTTGACAATGCGTTATTAATGACGAAGTGCAGTCTTTTAGTCTTGCATCTAAAATATTTCTAGGAATGACGAATTTGCAAAATATCTTGTGGTTCGGTTTAAAACGATTTTTTTATTTGCTATATAACATTAAAGCAAACTTTATGGATTATTTGATTTTTTAAAGAATTTTGCAGGTTTTATACTATTTAAAAATTAAATATGAACGCAATATTTAAACTCATAATCGAAACAAATGATTAATGTTCTAAGAAGAATGTAAAAAATTTTAATGCAACATATTCGTCACATCCATCTTTTGCCTTCTCAAACGCTTCCTGGTAGAGATAAAGTTTGAAATATTCAGGATCTAAGTTGCATTACCGACTTCAAAAAAGAGAACTTGCTCTTATTATTTGTTTACTTCAAAATTAATACACAAACGCGTAGATTAGATTGATTTTCGGTTTGTCACTTCAAATGACAAAGTGGCTGAGTATTTCAAGATTTCAAAATTTTTAAGAGCTTTCTTTATTTCTGACTTTAGGTAGTTGTATTTATCAAAGTGTAATTTTTTCAACGAAATTTCACTTGCATACTCGAACTTAAACATATTTTGTTCGATGTCTATTCGATGTCTAGAAGGTTCTTGCTGATAACCAATATTATTTTGATTAATTGTGGTATGGACTAAACTAATTTATTATACCTGTTCACTTTTTATTGTGTCTTACTTTGTTTGATGCAAACGTCTCAAAGATTTCTACTTTCAATTTTCCCAGAATTATGCACTGCGGCATTAAAATGTGCAATGATCTGCTTTGACTTTAAGCTATTTCATTTTTTCAACAGTCATACGCTGAGAATATCACGATTAACCTTCTTTTTTTTGAATATTTTGGACAAACTTTTTATTTAGAAAATATATTTGCAACTAAAAAGTAGCTTATGAAACATCGATGAATGCCATCGTTAAAGAAGGAATTTGCTATACTCTATACGTTACGAGATCCAAAAACTTTTCTCCCTCATAAAAAGAAGTTTGAAACTAAAGTATCAAACATCTTCATTGTTTGATAGGTCGTCTTGTCTCATCTCGAAACGCTCATTCAAGTTACAGTTGCAATCACAAAAATCAATCTGATATTGTGAATATTTCTTGAAATGCTATTACTTTGAAAATAGAATTAAAAAGAAAAAAATCTGCTTCTGATTCAAGCAAAAGATATTGATCTCTGATTGCAAGCAGTGGTATTTCCATAAATGGATACTGATAGCAAAAATTTTGTATCTCGTACATATTATCTAAAATATTTTTCTCACCACATTCCGAAAAATCTTGCGCTTTTTGGGGTATCCAAAAATCACTGTCTTTTTATCCCTTCCCCTTTCTCTCCTCTCTGCCTTTCTTCAATCACTTCATACATCTATATACGTGCAAAATGAAGTATTCTCTAAAATCATAAATTCAATTTTATGACTTCTCTCCTGCATAACAGGCATCTAAATCTTTCTTAAGTGAAATATTTAAATTAAATTTAAATATAGATGAATTTCGTATCTCATGATCTCTCTATGGTATACCTAAATAACTTCTGTGAGTTCAATCTCACGTGTCACTTACGCTTGGCACTATGCTGAGCTATACTTGGCTACCAGTGAATAAGAAATTATCTCTATTTGGTAATGTTCGCAATGGTATGTTGTTCTTTCATCGATTGTTCGTAACAATCTTCTTACGACATTTTTATAGTTTCTAATTAGTTTCTATCTAAGCCACACGGAACAGTCCGTCCGTATCCGTTCCAATGAAGACGAGTAGTACCATAAATGACGGTTCCGTTGAGAAATGAGATGAGATGAGTCATTATTGTTTAAATGGACATACGACAGACAGAAAGCGAATAAAAGGAGTAGGAAGATTGTTATATATGAAAATATGAATGGACGAAGTGAGCATGAAATGCTTGATGGAATCCAATAGTTGTGATGTCTAACTGAAAAAGCGCTTCCGTCCAATCCTCGGCTTTTGTTATAATCCTACCATTCTATTTTATTCCATTTTCCTCTTCCTTCATTCTCTTTTCCACCTAAGTTTCTATCGGAGTGAAACATGTTGAATTCTAAAAATTTCACATCAATAAGAATAAAGATGATAGTGGAAGTATTAGTTGTGCTAATATTATTTGTAAATTATTCCAAATTGACGAGTTAATTTAATCTGTCATAAACTGCTATTGTGAACTACTTGCTAATATTTCATTTCGCATATCTGACACATACCGTAGTAATTAGATGTCAATATCACATCCAAAAAATTAATGCGAATGTCTTTTAATGAAAATGAATGCATCTTATTTATCTCATTTCATATTCTAGTGCACTACGATGTATGTCCCAGAGCAGTGGAAAGTTTTTTGCTTCTTTCTTGTATTCGTGCTCACAATCATAACGATCGGTAGAGCACTCTGTGGAGGAACTATGGAATCAAAAAGTTTGTAAATCATATTAATTTGATGAATTCCTGTTATGTGCGCTAATTACTGATATATTACTTAATTATTGTAAGTCAGTTTACGCACACATCACTTCTTGTTTAAAGAAACGCTAAAGTTTATTTTAAAAACCAAATAACAAATAAATCAGTGATATTATTCAGTAAAGGTTGCGATAAATAACAAATTCTTTGTCATAACTTAATCCCTCGTGTCGCTAAAAAGATGGATGCTCTTTACTTCATTCATTTTTTTCTCTCTTATTTTAATTTCCAAATGATGCTTATGCAATAATTTTCCATAAAATTATTAATTTAACACAGATTAATGAGGACACGATTTTATGCTTCAACTGAAAACTACTTCTATTCTAGAATTCACTTCGCTTTTAATACAGTTTAGTCGACTCCCTGTCGAACCTCTTTTTCAAAGAGTATTCTTAAAGAGCATTTAAAGAGAAATCGGGAAATTACTTGCCAAAGAATAATAAAAGGCCCGTAACCGAAATGTTTATTTTTTAGCGATTTTTTGTGATTCACTGTAATATTAATTTGTTTCAGAAATTGGAGCTTAGAGAGGATTTTGCAGTCATAATGAATTTCGCTTGTAATATGTTCTCTTTTCTAGTTGTTTGTCACTTGTTTCACAAAATATTTCCTAATTTATGCTCTTCTTCTATTGTGGATATACTAGTTTATCTAAGATTTTGAAAAGATATACAAGCAGTACAGAAATAAGAGATGGATGTATTGTGAATTAATAAAGCAATCTTTGTCTTGTTATAATTTGGAACTGAAGTGGATGATCAAAAAGGCATCATGGTGACATAATGAGCGAAGTGATGTACAAACATTACTTGGCTTATGCAGTTCATTGGAAGGCTGCTGAGCTAATTGGATAGATGCCTTACTTCCTCCTAATTCCCTTCTCCTTCTCCTTCCTTTCATTAGAGATCCCACTCCCAATGCATTTAACAATATTAAATTCATCCAGTCTGATGCAACGATGCAACGATAAGCACATATCCTCCAATTAGACTTCAGTGTGCGGAAAGCAAGCCATTGTCTCGTTTCACCAAATTTTCTTCAAAACCGATGAATAATTTTTGTTGAGGAAAGGAACCGTTGTTTATATTTCCAAGAGGAGGAAACGGTGTGATGCCTTTTCATTTTCTGCACCATTTCCATCAATTTTTGAATTTGCAATAAGGAGCATAAAAGTTGAATAAATTAAAATTTATACTAGATTCATCTATTCATATCCGGATACATTACTCTATATTAGGAAACCATTAAGAATTGATTGATTTACGGCTCTAGCATTGCGTCTTAGTCGAAATGTTAAATCTCCTTTGAGTGTTGATCGGATAGCCAATAGCATCTTATGGTTTCGAAGTCCAAAACTTTCATAGAGGGAATTTTAATTATAGAAATTTGTTAAATTTAATTACGATTTTGTAATCGCAAGAATTGTTGTTTCCATAGAGATTTCAGTCTCCTTCTCAACCAGATAAAAAGACAATATTTTCAAAAAAAAAAGAAAAAATTTGCTTTAAGATTGAAATATCGAAGCACACAATGTACGCTTTATGGAGAGCAAATGTAAGAGCAACATTTTGTTTTCATTGGCAATTTATAACATTTTTCCATAACTCAGAATTTGGTCTGATGCAGCGTCTCAGCTCATGGTTCGAACAATTGCCTTTGCGACGTCGTGGATCTTCTCGTCGACTACAGAATTGCGATTCAGGATTACATCCACACAAGAGGCAATCCAAATCAGTAGCACCGCGACTTCATTACAGTGTCAGTGCGGTACAAAGTAGTAATTATCGAGACCATTCTGTTGATGCTCTGTCGCAATCTCTGATTATTAATGACCAACTGCATGGTTTGTAACATTTTGCACATGTAAATATAAAATGTAAATAGCAGCTTATAAAGTTCTCTACTTTAGAATAAAGTTTAAACAAAAATATGACCAAGAATTGTTTATAACTTTCTATAAATACTGATCCTGAACTGTTTAACTATAGCTTATAACTTACAATCTGTATATTGTAAGCAGAAACATCATTTCACTTTCTAGAACTTAACTACAATGCGTTCTGTGTTATAACCTGAGATAGTCCAGTATCCTATTATGAATTCCTAGTTGTGAGGCGAGTTAAATTAATAGAAGTTATGTGCAGTCGCAATATTTCTACTTATAACATTTTTATTTATTCAGTCACTTCATTTCAATTTTCTTCCATTGCAGCAATAATGCCGTCTTCTTGGAACAGGCAAGAAACGGTAACTCACTCGTGTCACGACAGTTCAAAGCTTGCCACATCTTTCTTAAAGTCATTCTCTACACCAGCTAGTTCTGGGCGAAAAGTATCTTTTCATGCTTCTTATGGACTAGACCTCATTTATGAGTAATGAGTAAAACCTATTGATTTCGTGGAACTAGCCTTGCCTCTAACTTATAAAAGTTTATCAGTTATACATGGAATAAATAGGCCAACAAATAGAACTGGAGTGACCCGACTTAGTCTCACTTAATCCGATTTAATTTCAAATAATTTGAACTGGACTGATTTTATCACACAATTGTTTGCTGTTTTTCCTTTCTTTCTCAGGCGCCAGCTTGTCTTCTCGAATTTTTCACAATAATTTTTCAGAATATACGTACAAATCCATGGATTTCACATAGTCGCCCATTGGTTCAGACTATTGCTTACCACGGACCGAGATCCAATCATAAACTGATGCACACGTCCATAGATCGTACGGCATCGTTTCGTATCAATAGTCTGGATGAGAGCATTTACAGTTCTGGTTATGGCAGTCAAGATAGCAGGTACAAAGCTTTTCATTTCCAACGCATTATTTCAAAAACTAAGAAACTTCCTTTTGGATGAGCTAACTGCTTCAAGCAAGGCTGTATCTGGCATTGTGGCTTAAAAACCGAAATATCGAGTAAAAATAATTTCCTCCACTTTTAAGTTCTTTAATTGTAAGCTATGTCTTGCTCATTTCTTTATGCAGTCCGGAATCGTCAGTGCATTCGCCGGATTGGCAACCATCAAACACAACAGCAAAGCGTGGTCGACTGGAGGATAAAGCGGTGGAATGCAATTCAATTGATGTGGATGAAGCTTTGGGGCTAGATTTGGAAAGCAAATCGGAAGTAGAGGATCTCAAAACAATTAATGCTGGAGATCGGTTTTGTAAAGATGATGAACATGTATATTATGAACTAGAGGTATGCTTTTATATTCGGTTAGAAATACATTCTTCCATGAAATATGAGATATTGAAGATTTAATTGAGAATTAACAATGAATTCTACCAACTATAATGGAAATGATTTGTTATAACTGTAAAATTCGCTGTTAATTTCTGAGTATATAATTTCGGTCACAACCTTACGACTATACCTACAGCTTAACTTTGCATTCACGTAGCTCTCAAACACTTATAATGCTATTTAGCACAGATATTTTCACAATAGTCCTGTTTGAATAGCGCACCACAGTCATTGTCTCCCAGTGACACAGTAGTACAGTTTAGTAAATCTTTATCAAAGCCAGGGCTTGGAGGTTTGTTGAGTTTAAAGTCTGTCATGAAGGGAAGCAATAAAAGTTTTCGTTTCATCACAAACTGTGTTATACTCAGAGTTTGAATTCAAGGCCTTCAGTCCATTATCATTGCTACTGGATAGCGGAATCTATCCATCGGATTCAGATATTGCTAGCTCATCAGATGGATCGTTATATTCTCAGTGTTTATCACCAGTTTACACCCAACCACATGACTATTATTGGCATTATGAGCGCGGAAATTATGAGGAGGACCAAGTGACCGAGTATCCGAACGTGGCGTCCAGCTTCACATATATTCCTTGTGCTAACTATAATCCAGCACCTGAATTTCACCCCCCTCCTCCTCCACCACCACCACCACCTCTACAAAAAAGTGATCTGGAACAAGCTGAGCTGGATTTTCTAACTGAATTAGATGCACAGATTGCTGATTTGCAGGTAATTTCTCTTTCAACCTTATTGCTTGCAGTAAGGCGCTTATTATTCACAAAGTTCTGATTATATTGTGTAGTTGAAGAGTCCTTCATATTAAATTAGCTGCATTTTCTGACGTTCCAAAATTTGCATTACATAAGGTAACTCAAATCGACATTCAGTTGGCTTTAGAACAAAAACTGTGGTTGTTTGGTGGCTGGCAACGTTGGAAGGCGTGTATCGTGATGAAATGAAATGTTTTTCAGTTGAAAAGTGTAAAGGTACGTCAACTTGTGGATGAGGCCTATGAACGCCGTGATGCACGCGTTCGTCACGCGCGGTTACATCATGAGCTAGCCGAGTTGAGACGAATGAAATGGGTGCTGCACAATCACTTCGAATTACTGCTCTGATTAGACAATTGCTAGTTCTGTAACCCAATTTTTTGTTGCCATCTTCCATGATTCTCCAATCTCATGGATGTATCTGATTTGTAACTGACTGATCTGAGTATTATTACTAGCTTTAAGCACAGATACTTTACTGAAATCAGTTACTTTCCCTTTGCGTTCTGCACTCAGTAAATGTCCTTTATATATTTCTGACATTTCCAGGATATTCCGAATCTAACTTTCAGTAATATTTCCGGTTTTAATACTTGTTTTCATTCCTCAGACTTAGCGGACAAAAATGTACTGTGCTTTTTTCTCGAAAATTTGATTGTTTTCATCCATATATGAGTTATCATAGTATCTATGAATTTGTTCCAGCACTCGAATTTTGTAAATGCTGTAGTGAAAGAAAAATAAAGAAAATTAATGGAGCAGTCCCTACATTCTATAATGATTTTTGCACTTGTAAATAACATTTTAATTAAAATTAACATATATCCTTTTATTATTTTTCGAGTTTTCTAGGAAACCGTTTATTTTTCCTTTTATCATTGGCTTTTTGTCGATGTTGTACGGCTTTGTTCAGTTTATGGCAGTCTTATTTCCCTCTTTGCATAAAGTTTTCAAATTTAAAATCTGTTAATGATAGTCAACGTAAAAACCAATGAACATGAAATAATTCTCTTTGAAAATCTGAAAAATTTTATAGTTTGACAGTCGTCAGTCTTATTGGAGTATTTTACATTTGAAATTAAAATCAACTTGACATCACTATAATTTATCATGAATAATTGTTTAGATGGTGTTATTTGGACTCAATATTTTATGAAAGAATGATTTCTGGGATTTACGAGATGGATGGAACTGAAGAACGGTACAAGATAAAGAGGAAGGTGGATTAGGAGAGTAAGAAAGCAGTGCTGGGTATATTAAGGCAAGATTTTCTATGTTAATTTCTCATAAAGATACATGGTTTTTTGTGCAAATGAAATCATATTTTTGCTACTGTGGAACGTGCTAAACAAAGCGTCATACATCTACTTTTTCGTTGAAGATATGATCTAATGAAATTTTTTGGCAAGTTTACCGACAAAATTTTCTTTACCCATAAATGTAATGCACCTTTCTGGAAATGATGTCGTCTACTGGAGAGCCACTAACAATCATTGGTCACAGTGGTAGCCTAGTATCATATAAAAGGGCATGTTATTGCTCATATAATTAATAATAAACCAGTAAAAAAATGGCATGGCATAAAATCATAGCAAGGGAAATCTCAACGCTGTAAACAGATCATCGCACAGCAATTATGCAAAAAATTGTAAAACTCATATTGCGTCGTATATTTTTGTATGTTGTCATATATGCACAGCACTGAAGACATGGATCTTATCTAACTGGATGTACAGTACTATCAAAAAGACATATTATTATGAAGGAAACCAAAGACCTCTTTTAAGTAAGTGGTTTTAGTTCTATTCTTTTTAATAGGTAGTATCACACTGGATTTCGAATGCTTTTTCTGATATGAAATGGAGGAATGGTCAAACGAAACGACTTCACTAACGACCCCAAATGACCCTTTGTTGTCACATATGTACTGTCCCTTCAATATCCTTGGATCTAAAAAAAAACTGGATTCGTTACTTGAAACAACTTTGTCCATTGAACAGTCATTAACCTGCAGAATCGTGCTATCGCGCTGTACAGTTAGTGCATGCTCTTGAAGAGATTTCATCGATGCGGTTGTCATGAAGAACAAATTCTCTTTTATAGCCGAAGGTATCGATCGTTCTCTGCGATCTGCTTTACTCTCATTTCCTCTGTTGGTTATAGTGAACTCTCTAAGCATCTTAGCTGTAATCGCAATTATTGTATCATATTCATCCACTCATTTCTATATGTAGTCGATCATTTATGATGCGTTATGTACGCCACTCATCTGAACATTGTTTCCTTCCAGGTTTTATTTTAATAAATTTGGATGATGAATCCGGATACGAACTATATACGATTGCGTGGACTTCCGTTTGCCGCTAAAGAGCAAGATGTTCGAGACTTTCTCCAAGGTTTTCTAAAATAAACCATTTTTGAGAAATCAGTACTTGGTTTCTTTGATGCAGTTTTTTTTTTTTTTCGGTTTGAATGCAAAGTCGATAACTTTCACGCTGACATCCAATGGTCGGGCAAGTGGAGAGTGTTATGTGGAGCTCGATGATCAGGAAGCTGTTAAAGAAGCTCAAAAACTTGATCGTAATGAAATAAATGGACGCTACATTGAAGGTATGAAAAAATTGAAATGTTTTGTGCTATGCTGTCCACGCAACAAACAAAAACTTATAATTATGAGTCATGATAGTCGGTCCTAGTTAATTTTTAATTCAGTGTCTTAAGTTTAGTTGTCTTCTCATGAAAAATTTGCAGTATTCAGCGTTAGTGATGCGGAGTTATTAATGATGATACGTCATGGTGTGATCAAAAGTAGTGGTGGTGGAGATGCGGACAGTCGCTATGCTAGCAACTTCGTTGTCCGTCTTCGGGGTCTCCCATATAGTGCAACGATCGATGACATCAAGGAATTTTTTTCAGGTTTCTTTCTTCCCACTTTAGACCTTGATCTAGGTTAAATAATTAGTCTCACTTTTTTACGGATTGCAATCAAGAATTTTCAAGTTAATTGGAACTTTATTGTTTTTGCGAGAACAAGCCAAATATAATTTTCATGCCGTTATACAGCTGATTGTCAGAGTTATATGTCATCCCCGAACAGAATTAAAGGACCGGTAAGCGGTAGTTTGGTATGAGAGTGGTTTTGGTAATATGTTTTAATGGGAATATAGGCCTGGAAGTAGCGGATGCGGTAATCGACAAAGAACCGGGGGGTCGACCTTCAGGGGAGGCATTCGTACGGTTGGCAACCAAAGAATACGCGGAATTGGCTTTGGAAAGAAGCAAAAACTACATGGGTTCAAGGTATGGGAATTCTGTTGGGGATTTTGCAAGTTTTCAATTCTGGGCAGGTAAAATTTGTGTTTGTTGGTAGGGTCGGAATTGAACAGTGGCCATTTGGCTACTAGGGATCCGGCGTGATCTTTGTTTAGCGTAAGTTTTTTACGAAAATTATGAACAATTTATTATTGCCTACTAGTGTTTCTTTCGCATAAATTGAAGTTATTCAAACTTTAATTTCCTGGAATTTAAGAAAAGAAAGTGAAGCATTTTTGATTTGTGGAATACGAGCTGCTTTTAATAATGATTATTTTAGATATGTCGAGGTTTTCCGTAGTTCGGCAGATGAAATGGACAATAGCTATTACGCTGCACGGGGTATACCACCACCAACTAGTGGACCAGTCCCACTGCGTGGGATAAGTCCGACACTTGACTTTCGATTTCGAGACAGGTGTTTCTGTTATTTTTCTCTAACTCTTTTTACTCGAAAATTGCATTGCTGTTTTATCATTATTTGCAAATCATCAGGTTCGATAATGGAGCTAAGCGGAGTATGGTTTAGTTTTCTCAAAGCTTTTGTATACGCCGAATAACTTTGACAAAAGGTAAAAAATAAGCCTTGTAGATATGCAGATTATGGTCGCTACGGTGGACCAATAAGGCTTTCAAGCCTACATCCACGTCCATCGCCATACGATCGCCCATATTATGATAGAGATCGTTATTACCGATATGGTGCACGGTATGATCCAGAATTTGATGAAGCGATGTATGACCCTACCGTTAAGGTTTTCATGCGAGGTAACTCTGTTGTTAATATTTTATCGAATTTGCAAGGATAAACTATTTGTGAGTTCTCAGTATAAATTACAGAGGTTCGTTAGATTCATATACGAATTATATCAATCAAGATTTATTCGCAGGCCAAATGTTCTATATCTTTTTGCTAATATTTATTATTACCATTGTTATTATTATTATTAATTGCTATTATTATTGGTTATTATTACCATTTATTACTATTATTACTTATTTATTGTCATTACTATTACTGTTATTATTAATAATAATAATAAAACGCATTTTGAGGTTTGCCATACAGCGTCACTACGCTCGATATTGAAGAATTTTTCCGACCTCTGAACTGCGTTGAAATTAAGCTTGGTTATAACGAAGAACGTCGTCTTTCGGGTGATGCGCTGGTGACTTTTTCAACAATGGCGGAAGCACGAGAAGCACTGTCACGTAACAAAAACAATATGGGCACGAGGTAATCGATGGAGAACATTTTATCGTGAGCATTGGTTGGTGATATTATGAATTTTCAGGACTTTTAGGTGGCCTTTGGCTATTTCCGCTATCGAATTTATATTACTGGACAAAAGGAGTCATATGCAGTCAAGTTCAAATTATGTGAGGGATGCACTTATTATGCATTGTCGGTAGTTGAGCTAAGATTTGAAAAAAGGAACTGATTACGTAGATCAGAATATTACTGGTCAGTTCAAATAGCAATGTTTTATGATGGATTGAAGTACCTGGCTGCTTCCCATGGATACGCTGTTTTTGGAACGAGGATGAAAAACCATTTCAAGTAAACGGGAAGGTTCCAAAAAGCTTTGAATTTTTTTGTATCAATAAGTACTTTTTTAGAATTAAAAAGCGAAAACACACGAGGTTTTCTGAAGACATCAAAATGTTATTACGAAAGAGGAGAGCAATGAATAAGGAGAATCAAATGATTATGCTGCTTTATGCAAACAAATACGAACACAGGTGAAAAGGAATTTTAAAGAATTCAGACGTTTGAAAAAAGAGAAAACATTGCAAGAAAACACTGAGAATATGCTGAAAGAGGAAACTAACGTAAAAGATTTCGAACTAGAAGTATAAGAGGAGTTGTTCGAAGAAAATGCTGTGAAAAAAGGATGCGATATTATCGAAATTTTTTGAGATAGCGTTGAAAAAAAGCGGAACAGAAGAAGTGGATGGAGTAGGGCAACATCAACGAAACAAGTAAGAGTTGAGCAGGGGCTTTTTGGGAAAACTAAGGAACATTCATTAAATCGGGTGTGTACCACAGAAACTTCTATGAAAATGAAAAACCTGCAGGGAGAAGTGTATGGGAGATATGTTATGAAATTGAAAGAAATATGTGCCGCAAATGGAATTCTTGAAATGGTGCTAGGTAGCGAGATGGTAAAGATGAATAGCGAGAAGGCAGTGCAGGCAAATAATGAAAAATGTGCAGAAAGGGAAAGTGTAGCAGGACCATCAAGCACCACTGAGTGGGATAATCAAGAACAGATATGGAGCAGTAGAAAATCGCTTGACCCTCAGTCCAGTGTCTTTGGTGTCCATGATGAAGTGAAATTGTATACCGAGTATAGTCCCCCATTGTTGTCGCTTATTGGACACAGTTGCGCGAAGCGACAAAAGTAAGTAATTAGTCTTGGAATTACAATATACGTGGATTCCAGACATTCATCTATAGTAAAAGCAGACAGGAGTTTGAAGATCTACAGCTTATAAACTGAAAACTGATCTGTTTTGAAGAACCAAAATTTTACCAGCGATATTTGAAAATACAAGAACGATACAAGTCTCATAAAATGTTAAGAAATAAAATTATAAATAATGATGTTGTTGGAACCAAGGCTACTATTACTTTGCTACTACTGCTCCACTTACTTCCAAAGTAATCGTCGTTGAAGATATTTTTACTCGTGATCTTAAACTTTCGAAGCTTAATTTTTATTTCTCAAATTGTTCAGTATTGTTGGTCCTTTCCAAGTTAATTATGCTTGGTATGCACTAAACAAAGGAAAAATAAATACAAAGACATTGTATTGAGCACCGAGCTGTTCTCGTTTCCGATTTCTTTTATGCTCATAACATTTCTTTAGATGATTTATCTATGCCGAATTTTTCATTCTGGTTTTTGAGTCCCGATTTTCTATTTCTTAGCTTAATGATGTCATTTTTCTTCAGATACATCGAATTATTTCCGGCAACAAATATTCCTCATCCGATTAAAACAGTAACATTCCGCACAGTAAGCGGAGCACCTACCCGTCTAACAGCAGCTCCTCGTCCGTTGTATAGCTCTTTTGCTGAAGGTAATGTTTCCGTTACGTGCTGTAAAATTTCATTTATTCGGAGGAAATATTTTAGCTTCTGGACAAGAACTGTTGTCCAAACTTTATTTTCACATAAGGACCCATCCTTGTTTTTTTGCAAAGTTTTTTGTTTGTTTAAATTCTTGAATGAATCATTTAATAAAAATATTAGCAGATTTTCATTCTTATACGAGTTAATCGTTTTTATTTTTTTGATCATCCTTTTTTCAATAGTCATGCAGATTAGGTATATCTCTTTGAGAATTTTGTCGGTATCATTATTGAGGAAATTTTAAATCATAATTAGGGCGTCAGTGGTTGCAGTTATTGATTATCTTCAATTCTTTCAATACCACAAACTCCTATTAAGGATGACTTATCCTTTTTCATTTTTTAAGGAAACGAATTTTCTCCGCAATATCTGGTTAAAATTTTCCATTTTTTTAGATGAGGAAGCTGCTTATGCAAGTGGAGTTGGTGGACAGCAGGTGAGCTTTCTGAGACTTATTGATGTCGCTTGATCATTCTTCATGTTTGGATTTAAATTGTTGGCAGAATTTTTTTGAATAGTTTTTAAAATATTTTGACACTATTATTAGTATCCAATAAGTTGAACTGGAAAGAACCATAAATTCTTTTACATCATCATTATGAATTTTTTTCAGTACTACAATGATCAGTATGAAGGTCGTCAGTCAAAATATGGTCGTGATTGGGGTGAACCAACACGCACAACTTGGTGATGTGTTAAGAAATATGAAATGTAATTTGATTTGGGAAAGTCGTTGGAACAGTTTTGTTTCCATCTAGGCACTAATTATCATGTTAGGGCTCATACCTGAGGAAGGAGTTATTTCGTATTCCCAGCATTACTTTATTGTTCGCATCCAGAAAACATTTTTCTCGGAAAGCATTGTTGTATTGTTCTAACGAACAGTGCTCAGTTAATTTATTTTATTTTAATTATGCTTTCAGTTTTTACTGACTGTGGAAAACATGATATTATTGCCGTTGTAAAACTGTCTCCATATACTTACTTCGAAATTCGCATAAAATTTTTTTCCACAGTCTCGTCTCCACTTTGCTTAATCTGCTCTTATGGTTTTTGTCCCGTTTGACAATGTTTTCAAAGATATTATTGCTATTCCAAGTGTATTCCACTAGTTGCTTTTCTTTTTTCACTCTTTTCATTCTATTCGTTATACTGCTGTTTTTATTTAACATACTTCATTAAGTTTTGTCCATATTATACTTTAATTTTCTGGACAATAAGTTAATCACTGGGTCTTGCATATTCTTTTGCTTCCAGTGTTTTGCCATTTGAAGTAAGAAATAAAGGTAACGGTTTAGATTACCACTACCACTTTGGTAGAACGATTTTATTAGACATTTACAGAAAATGTGAAGAAATTTGAAGGGGAGTTGAGGTAAAGGGATTTAATCTCAACTGAGTTGTAGTTTTATGGTATTATTTAATCAGCTTTGCTGGATCGGAGCTCAAGATATTAAAAAGATACCAGCAGTGCTTATGAGGGATTGATTGCGAGGGAGAAATGGAATTGGGTGATTTCATATTCCTGCTAGTGAGATTTTTTGGAATTCGGGAAGAGCGCTGGCAGTTCTATATTGGCACTTTTAGTATGTGCATTTTCAGGTTTGATGCTAAAAAATGTCAGTGTTTGCCTGCGGAATGTACTAAGAAAAGTAAAACAGGTGAAGGATAAGTGGATGGACGTTTCTTTGCTCGCTCCAGCTGATTCGGCTGGTGATATTGGTTAGTTTTTTTGCACTGCTTTTGAAATTTGTTGACTTCAATCTATTAATTTGGCATAGATACTGTGTCTGGAGCTCTTTAGTCTAGGATGAGCACGCAATGCTGAAAAATTTGCGATTAGCATATTAGCCACTTATCTTTACTCGTTATTAGAACCTTTAAAAACTTGTTTCAAAACTCATTTGCAGATTGAAATATAATTCTTTGATTTAGTTTGTGTGGCCACCTAAAAATTTGTCGCCCATAATACTTATAGATGAGCCTGTAAGAAAGAGCAGAAGAAAAGAATATTCTTACGCATTGCTGCTGGCATATCAAGGCAAGAAGTACAATGGTATGCAGGTAAAGACATTATTAGCTTTCTGAAGATATTTATTCTATTCGTACTTTAATTTTGCGTGATTTTTTATGGTTCTTAATACCTATAATCATTGTATAGTGTGTTGTGCTTTTCGGTAATCCATAGTTCTTTTTTTTTTTTTTTTTTTGAAGGTCGACGCCGAATGACTTACTTTGAAATATGTTTTTCTTTTTTGAAAAATTTGCATTTTTAAGATTCTTTTTATATACATATATTGATTCAATAATTTTTTTTATTTTACTTCAGAAAAACTTTGGTTACCTCACTGTTTACAATTTTTGCGTAGATCAAATGGTTGATGTGTTACTTTTTGAAAATAAGGGATCAATATATAATTCTCCAAGCATATGTTTTTTACTGCTCACGAACTGAAACGATCTGATTTGATGCATGAACATTATCCCTTCTTCATGGTTTAGACTCGGACATTATTAACACATCGCTTTCTTTATTTTGGCTTCTTTATAATTTACGCTGCAATAAGTTAAAAAATAGAAAACAGTTGAAAATTAAATGAATGGACTTGAAATTAAATAATTGTCAGAAGCTCACAATTGACTTTTGGATGTAATGACTGCAACAAATAATCTCTAGTTTCAATTATTTCAGTTGTTACTTTTTATCCATCGCTTTGTATTGGTCTAAATCAAAATATGAGGCCTCTGTTTTATGAGTTGGGAGTTTGCGATATTAATGCACAGTATTGGCAATACCTGAGCATACACTGACAAAGGATGGGTAACAAAAATTAATTTCGGATCTCAGACAAACAGAAATTTATTATGTTATAATCTGGGATGTTATGATTGTACACCGATATCTTGATTATTTACTCAAACTTGTGTCTTTTGTTGCACTTGGATATAGATGAATATGGATTATTTACAGGTGCAAAAAGATTTTCCCACAATTGAGGGCGAATTGTTCAAAGCGATGGCTAAATGCGGATACATTTGTGAGAATGATGTTTTTAGTCCAGTTCGTTTTGCATTTCAGAGAGCTGCTAGGACAGATCGTTCCGTATCCGCAGCTCGGCAGGTATAATTCAAGTAATTGTCTCATTATTTAATGAAGTGAAAATTTTTATTATTGCAGCTTGTGATCCTTTTTTTCGAAATTTAGATGTGCTCGATGCGGCTAGCTCCAGAAAATCACGAATATTTTCTAAAAACAGCCACTGATAAATTAAATACACATTTACCTGAAGAAATTAGGGTTCTGGGTGTTAGGTATGTTTCAGTTCTTCTTGATTGTTTAATGGAAATGGATTTAATATTGTTTCGTTAGTGCTAATCATAATTTCTTCTTAACTACAGTTATACTTATATTTGTAAACAGCATTCATGATGTAAATAAGTGTTTTTTTTCTGACACTTCACGGAAAATTTTAATAAATTAATATTTCTAGACGTGCAACCCGGTCCTTCAAAGCTCATAAAAATTGTGATAAACGAACTTATTCTTATACCTTGCCGACTTATGCATTTGCTAGGGCAGATGAGGTGCTGTGCTGTTCTTTACGTCATGTATTCAAGTTTAATTTCTTCTTTCAGATGAATTGTAAAAACATTTCGATAAGAAACCTTTTAAAATTAAGAAAATGTTCCCTTTGTTGAAATATTGCATTTAATTTCAGTTGACAACCAGTGGTTTCCGCATGAGCGAAACATCTATTGCTGAATTGAATGATTTACTTGCATTGTACAAAGGAACGCATAATTTTTTCAATTATACTTCCGGAAGGCGAGTTTTTGATTCAGTGGCCAACAACATGACTCAGTTTTCTAATCCTTCTACGCTACTCTGTGAGTTAGATAAAGAAGCATGGTGACATTTGAAATATGTTCCTAACTGCAAAAAGTTTTTTTTTTTTCTTTTGATCCGACTGCCATCGGGGTTAATAGTTTTTATGATAGTTGGTAGCTGCAGTATTTCCTTCTAAGAATGAATTCTTATAAATCATCTGCAAAAAAAAAAGTGAAAAAATTAACCTTCGAGCACCACCAGCATGCCCTACTTTTATTTTTCCACCTCCATTATGCTAGAACTCAGTTTCTATTTCAAAGAAATGTGGCAATTTCAAGTACTGTGGTCATCTTACCAGTAAATATTGAACATCTTTCCCTAATAATCTTTGTGTTGAAATAGAATTTTGTTGCTGAATTGACAAGCAGAAATATGGAATCATCAGGAATTTCAGTTATTTTTATAGATAGCTTTTGTACGAAATCTTATTCCAGTCATCCTTTGTCGTGAATTGTAAGCTGTGTGATATGTATCATCTTTCTGAATTGTGTTCATGCTAAATGGTTTACTTAAATCCATCTTCAGCAATAGAATATTTAAAATGTCATGATAAATTAGTCGGGATAGAATTTTTTCTAATACCCAGGAACGATAGCTTTACCATCCTTTTACAATTTGAAATAGAATAGCTGAAATGTATATCCAGTGATTTTCTGTCTGTTCACGAAGCATTTTGACTACTTAATAAAACTTGAATACCGGATCTCCATGTATATTTTTTTCATAAACATGGGCATTTTATCTCTTATTAGACTAGAGAAAGATTTTAAATCGATATCTACTGAAAATGAATGCTTGTGGGATATGTCTTTTCACGTTTTCTTCGTTGAGGAATTTTTTTCTTTAATTGATGCGAAGGAAGAACTGGTGAAGTCCAAAATTTGACGAAGACCTACAATTGAGGATAACATTTAAAAATATTGCATCATTATGGGGGGATTATTTCCTTCAAGCAGAATTTTTATTTTAAAAGATTAGTTATATTGTATGTGGGACGCCTGCCGGACAACCTTAATAATAGACGATCCTTTTATGTGGGTATTCAGTCCTTTGTTGTATATTGCGGTTCTCGTTAAATTTGTGGAAAAATTGTTATGACTCTGGCAGCGGGAGTGAGATCAAAAGTTACTTTCAATGTTTTGCTCAGGAATTTTCTAGGTGAGCTCTCCAATTTTTTTTTTTTTTTGTGACATAGAACTACAACAGTAAAAACTACACTAAATGTTGATTTTTAAATTTCATAAGCCATTTTTGTGTTGGAGCTTATACTATGTTTCGTTACATGATTCTTAAGTTGTAAAAAAGAAAAAAGTTGAAATGATACAGTAGGCAAAAAATTGAGAATTTGCTAGGCTTCTGCAGCATCGGTTAGGATCGGAAAACATTGAGATTAGCCGCTTGGGATGATAGAAGTTTTTATGGATCAACATAATTATCTACCTCTATTATTCTCTCGATATAGCAGTATCACTTCAAGGGTTTGAATTTAGCAATAGTCGTTTTAGGAATCGCAGTGTAAAGTTTTATTTAGTGTTACTATCTGATCTTTAATTTTTTGCTAAAATATTTTTAGAACTTATGAAGATCGAAGCAGCATGCGATATATACATGATTTCAAATGTGGTCCAACACAGCTTGTTGAAGATGAAGTCCGGGGTGGTATGGTTGAATTTATTACTCTTTATATCACTGGACAAAGCTTTATGCTGCATCAAATTCGAAAAATGATAGGTGCTTTTTGTTTTAGAGATTTAATTTTTGACTTTATCAAGCAAACATTTTTCAACATGTTTAAAATATGAATTCTGGTTCAATTTCAGGGATGACGGTAGCAACTTTCAGGGGTCTCTGTGGCAAAACTGAGGTTGCAAATACATTTCTGAGTGAGCGAGTAAGCTTTTTGCTCTCTAAATGCAAATGGACAGCAAGAAAATCTTAAAGTTATGGTCGTAGTGATAGGGCATATATCTGTGGATTGAGATGGATGAAATTATAATAATTTAGTAGTTATTCAAGTCATATACCTTTTTCAAGTCTTTTTTCACCTACTTTTGCTAGATTTTTGTAGAAGCTTCAATGGAAAATATCATTAAATAATTTCAAATTTCTCTATCTCTTACCATTACAATGGAAGAGTTCGTAAAAGGAGTACTTCACTCAGTATTTCCTAAAAACAAAATTAAGGTAATCATAAAATTAATGGTTCACTTTTTTATGCATTTTAAATTATGGAATCAGTTTGTTTTAGATGGATGTGCCGAAGGCACCCGGTCTAGGTTTGGTGTTAGACAAAGTACACTATGAAAGATATGACAAGTGGCATGAAAAAACACACCAGACATTGAATAACTGGGGTGAAGAAATTGAAACTAAGGCTGATGAATTTCGACAATTTTACATAATTTCGGAAATTTACCGTCAAGAGCTTGCCACGCAATCGTTAGTTTCTGGATCTTTTTTTTTTTTAAATGAAATCTGTTTTTATTTATGCTGTCATCTCAGGATTTTTAGTTAATCTTCCCTTTAGACTCATTGACTATTACTATGTAGATTTGTCCCATGCATGATTGTTAGCAATCTCACGACATAGCTTAACATCACAATAGAATTTGGACCATCATGTCATTCCCACTCTGCTCCGCGCAATGCACTATTTTCCAAGTTTGTATAGTATCAGTATCTTGAAAATTCTTTGAAGAAGTATGTAACAATGAAATTTGAAAAATATATGTGTATATGTGGGTGTGGTAATAGGACATAATTGAATCTTTATTAACTCGAAAATTTCATCTCAACATTTCAGAATGTTCTTATGGTTAACTACCTTAATAAGGCACGATATAACGATACCTAAAATTACAAGGGAATCAAGGGAAAGGTCACCATTAGGACTAGCTTCTGATCATGCATATGTCAGTTTGTTTATTTGCTTTACCGAATTAATGAAATGTTATATGAGATGACATAGTTGAGTTGAAAATTTTTTGTTTTCTAATAAAATGTTTGCCGGAAATTATTCTAACTGGTCTAACTATCGCTTGGATCAAAAAAAAAAAAAAAAAAAAACATTAAGTAGAACTAGAAAGAAGCTGATAAATATTTGGTTTGTCAGTTAAAATCATGGAATGCATTGGAAAACATTTTTTTGATTCAGTTACGTTTATTTTCAGCATGCAAATGAAAAATTAAAAGAAAAAAACCAGATTTTAAATGGATCAAAACGAAGAGATAATGTAGTGGTGGAACTTATGAAAAAGGATTCAAATTCACAGTCAAGGGAAAATTCAGAAGGAAATTGCACAAACAGTACAGCTGTTCTGAGTAGTTGTCCGAAAAGAATGGGGAGTCCTGATACTTCTGCTACATCTTTTCTTTGAAATGTTGTTAAGAACTAACCAGTGCTCCGGGAAAGGCAGTGACATTTAGTTCTTTCGAAAGAACTATTTGTTAAATGCTTTAGGACATTTAGAAGATGAAGCAAGAAAAATTTAATGGTTCTTTAATCTCGGTTGATTAAAAAATCCGATTCTTCATTTACAAACGCGTTCAAACTTTTTTCCAAGGTGTTAGAAGATACTATTTACTACATTTCCACCGATTGTTGTCTTGAAAATTGATTGTATTCGATTATCGATCATTTAGTGTTCATTTCTGAAACTTAGAAGTCTTATTTATTGTTGTTTTCATTGTTGAGTAAGAGTTATTGACGAATAAAACTTTTTTTTGTCTTGGTTTCCGTTAGCGTCCGAAAAATTAGACAAGTTTCAAATATTTTACTTGCGATTGCTTTTGACCACCATTACTACTATTTCAGTTGAAAATAAAAAAATCCAAGTTTTTCCATTTTAATTTCATCTATAACACATGAAATGGATAGATTCACCTATAACTGACTGACGGTGAAGACTGATAACGGGATAAAAAACATGGACTGTATTGGCTATAACTTAATATCATTGTATCGTTAATAACTTGCGGAGTCAGAACTCGGCTGCAAGCCTTAAATGTTTTAGAGATTCAGGAAGGTAATCTAACGTCCTGAAATAGTAAATAAAGAATGCACTGTGAAAATATGTTTGATGATAGGTAGGATTGATTGATTCGGTAGTTTCGTAAGCGGAAGTGACCCATTATCATTTAATATATCTCTAACTCCTTGAACGAATGAGATATTATTTAATTAATCGAATTATCTTTATTATCTTAATTTTAATGGTAGCTTATGAAATTCAATTGGAATTTTTTTTTCACAAAAATGTGAGAGCTTTTGGAAAGAAAAGAACAGTGCTGGAACATTTTAATGCTTGTTCCCTATGGTGCTTATGAAACACAAACGTAAAAATCAATTAGCAATTTTTATCAGCAAGTTCGTTTTGCTTCATGAATAATAATGTTGTCAGGAGGATAAATATTCCCTAAGAGCTTCACTATCTGCCGTTCGATTTAAATTTTTATCTTAATAAAAATGCAAGTTTTATAGAAAGACCATACCATCCTTCAAATATGGAACCGGAAGCAGAGCTTGGGGATGGTTATTTGGGGACAGAAATTGGTATTCGTCGAAGATCGGCATCTGTCTCTGATGACTATTCAGTACAGAAAACAAACGATGATGCTACTGAATGCAAGTACATAGCATCTAAAGTAAACCCTTTTTTCTAAATTTATTACTTCAGTACTTCCTGTGTAAGCTCATATGTCCATCGATTTATATAGATATGTGCTTGTAATTTTTTTCCTTAAAATTTAGAAGGATCATGCTAATTCTGAAAATGTAATCTTCTAAAATGTTTTGAATACGACTACGTTAGAACCACTTCCACTAGAATAAAGTCGAACTTATGTGATTATTCGGCTAAGACATTGATCAGGTGAAGGAGCTCAGGAATTTTAAGCAAAGTTTTGGTTGTAAAGTCTTTATAAACGAAGGATTTTCTTACTTGTTACTTTACACCATTCGTTGATTGACTTTTCTTGAAATGACGTACTCCTACTTCGATGTGGAAAATTTCAGCTAAATTATTTCAAAGATGCATATGTTCATCGATTTATACTGGGTGAGGATTGTAATCTTCGTCGTGATCCTGAAATTTCACGTGGTTATTGGGCCAGGATTGTAGCAGTTAAAGCCGTTGTGGATGCATTTTTAAAAGTATGATTAGGTTATTTTTTAGGTGGTAGAACGCTTTGTTTACAGAGCTGATTACATGTTACAAATTGGAACTTTTAGAACTAAGCTTTGACTCAAAATGAAACAGAAAGGACGGAACGGTGTTTTAGCACTTACTAGTTGTTCTCTTTTCTTGCCTCTGCTAACATACCTTTTTTAAGGCATTCCCTGAAAAACGCCAAATTATTAATCTCGGTGCAGGATTTGACACTTTGTATTGGAGACTGAAAGAGGAGGGAAAACAGCTTTATCGATATGTTGAAGCAGATTTTAGTTCAGTCACTGCCAAGAAGATTCGACAAATGCGAAGGCCTGGTTCACCTAATCTGGTTTCTATGTTTTCGGAACAGCGTGAGTAATTATTACTTTTAAGGAACATTGGGCCTAAACTGAATCTTAATTTAAGGTTACATACAAACAGATGGTACAAAACGAAATTTTAAGTCATTTAAAACAATAAGATGATAAACGAGTGAAAGGAGGTATTTATATCATTCACTGTTTTTCGTTTTAATAAATTGTTTGTTTAGCAAAGGAAGTGGAACATTCAGATTTGCATGCAGGTGATTACCATTTGGTTGGTGCGGATTTGAGACAATTAAGCGAATTCAAGGAAAAACTTGACAGTTGTGATTTAAATTACAAATTGCCGACATTATTTATCGCAGAATGTGTGCTGGTTTACATGGGAACAAGTCAGAGTGACGCACTTTTGTCAGCATGCGTCAGATGGTTTGAGAATGCTTTTTTCTTGAATTATGAGCAGGTCTCTTTTACTTACTCTGTTTTCAAAATTTATATTTACATTTAATTTTATAAGTTCCGCGTTTTCGTAAGTCACCAGCTTTTAGTAATACTGTATTGAATCCCTCTCATGATCATGATCAAAGGTTGGTCAGTATTGCCATCCTTCAGTACCGTACATTCATTATTGTTGTTGCCACAATCTCAGAAAAATGGATACTTTATTTATTACAAATAAAAGTTCATACTCGAATTTTACTTTCTTTAGGAATAGCTTTTTTCTTTTTAACAAAGTAAAGTAACTTCAGGTGAATATAGGCGATACGTTTGGCAAAATAATGGTGTCGAACCTCCATGGACGTGGTATAATTTTGCCAGGCCTTGCCGCTTGTGAGAATTTAGATGCCCAGAAAAGGCGGTTAGTAATTTCATAATAGTAGATTTATTGACACATAATAAAAAAGATACTGTCGTAGTCATATATATTCTTGTTTTTGTTTCTTGCTTCTTATTTGTTAAATGATGCTTCTTTTCTTCTGTTCCATGCTGTTTTTTTTTTCTCTCTTTTTTTTTTTTAGAGATTTCCATTTATTAAGTTGTCTTTTATATAGAAATTATATACATATTCATATAGAAATTTTTTTAGATTTATTAGTAGTGGTTGGAATAATGTTATTGTCAAGACAATGTGGGAAATTTATGGGAAGGAAATCCCGGATATACAAGTGAAAAGGTTTTGTGAATGAAGTTGCTTCTTTTACATTATTCATTTTACGTCTTCTTGTGAAGACTCAGTGTAAATACCACTTTCAAATTTGTAAATCTGGTAATTGATACTCGCATAGTTTTATTAAAGCGGGAATTGACATCCTTTATTTACGAATTGCTCAAGTAGAATTATGTTTGTGTTTTCAGGATTGAGAAGCTGGAATTACTGGATGAAAAGATCCTACTTTCGCAGTTGCTTGAACATTACTGCTTTGTTATTGCTTCAAAAAATGCTCATGCATTTGATTTTGAATGGAAAAAATGACATGTTTCAAAAAGTCTTTCGGTTGTGAAGGAAAAGGAAAATATAAACTGAGAACTTAATCAACAAAAAAAGCAGAGACAATTCCTTAGCGATACGTCAAAATCCGTTAAAAATTACTAATTCAAAATTTGCTCGCATTGTACATGTCAGGAAATGTGTTTCTGCATATATATATGTTTTTGTTGTTTTCCTTTTTCTTTTTTTTTTTTTGACACGCAGACGCTTTTGGTTTAATTTGAAATTACACATAAGTAAAAGTGGTTCCCGAACGATTTTATGTAAAAATTTCAATATATGACTTCTTCTGTAAGCCATACTTGTGACTCAAATCTGCATATTTAAAAAAATGTGTTTTTTCTACTATTTCTCACGTACTGTGAACACCTCACATCGCTTTACATTGAATCAGAAACTAGGTGTAATCCTTAATTTTTCAGGGACCATAAAGCTGTTTATCTCTAGGGAAAACCAAGAAATTTCCGTGTTAAAAGATCTTGCATTCAAAATTTCCCGGAATTCCTAATGCATTAGCACTAATAAAATAGGAAAAATCGATATCTTAATTGCATTTGATGTGTAATCGAAATGATTTGCTCCATACTTTCCTTCCATATCCTTTCCGATATTACGCAAAATGTTGTATAAATATTAGGGAACAATATTTTGATGTTGAAATTAAATTATATTGAACACGGACAAATACTGAGCACTAACATACAAATAAAGTCAGAGAATGAAGAGGTGCTATCTTTACTGCACTAGGTTACGTTTTGAAAAAAAAAAAAAAAAAATGTTTTTGTAGGAGAATGCTTAACATCTAAAACTTTCGTGTGGACGGGTTACTCCTATTGATAAATTGTTTGATGGGTAGGAAGAGCGAAGGTTTTATCCTACGAAATGAAGTAAATGTAATTAATTCGTTCATAAATCAGGTTTCTTGGAGATAAATAATATGTTTCTGAACATAGAGCAAGCAGAAGAAGAATTCCAGAATTTGCTTTATCGTGTGGAGCCGAAGAGCGTAGCAGAATTTCTTAGTTGGATCAATGAAAGTTTTGTTGTGTCAGATGGAAAACGTATGCTTACTCATTTATGCTTTTTTTAAAAATATTTTTCAGCTCTCCGGCAAACTTCTTAGCAAAAAATTTCCCATATGTTTGCTGATACAGATGTGCGCAAGCTTTTAGATAGTGGTAATATTGAATTTGACGGCAGGAGTGAACCCACTTCGGAATGCGATGTTTTGTTGCGAAAGATAGCAGTAGATATTAGGAGCGAGGTATTATTTTCATAAAATCTTTTCATGTCATGTTTGATGAAGTGGCAATTTGGCATCTCTCACATGTGCTTGAACTTAGCATTTCAATTAATTAATTTCACTTTATGAAAAATAGATTTTTGTCTTACCCTAGGACGGCACATCATAAAATGTCTCTCCTCAGCTCATTAACTTGGCGTCCATGTCATCTTGTATTAATTTATGAAATTCTGAAGATTTTTTTCTCATTCCTCTTTTTAAGTACTGTTTGTGGTAGTAGGATGTTCAACAGAAGTTTTAGCATTGGTGAAGTTTCCAAGTAAGTTCGTCCCGAACAAATGATTTATAATCTTATTTCCTCGGTACTCTAGACAGTGGAGAGCTACAATGAGAAAAAAATTGTTTTGAAAAGAAAAATCTGCCCATCTGAAATATGTGTTTTCTTGCTTTTAATTGTAGACTTCAGTATAATTTTTTCAGTTGCCAACGACAGCGTTATTACCCTCTGAAACAGTGTGTTGGCCGCAAAGTGGTTTAGATTCCGATTGCAGTCGTGATACTACGGTAATTTTTCTATTCCATTTAAATTTTGTGAAAAGATTGTAATTAAAGTACTCATTTACACTACTGAGTGCAAAATGCTTGTTCCCCTATAATTGTTTTATGATGGAATGCATTTAGGTACATGTCGATGCTTTCTTATACGACGATGACGATGTAGATGAATTGGTGAATCAGGGTGCATTGAGTCGAGAATACTGTGCGAAATGTGGTTGCAGGGAAATCATGCCCTTAACATTTATCTCGCATTCACTCAGTATCGATCAGGTACCATATACACCACACACATATTTAGGTATACGTATAGGTCATATATACACATACTTTTAAAATTGTATATTATGCTACCATATATTTCTGTTAATCTTTTGTGTCATAAGACTTCTTATCTATAATCAGGTGATTAAATAATAATTCGAATACACAGAATTCACTCCAGTATCACTCATTGTTGTTGTTATCAGTTTTATTTTCTTTTTTTGTAAATTTATATATAAAGTATCCACTACACAAAAAACGTACAAAAGTGCAAAAATGAGAAATTTCTTTAGCATTAACCTAAGAGAAAAGTGACAAATGACATTGAAATTTTGATGAAGTTAATGTTTGGAAAAAGATAGAATTCTACGGAAAAATGAAAAACTAATTATTTTTATAATTTACAGCTGCGGTTTGCATTCACTGTATTAGTTCCTTTAAGTGAGCATATGAAAGGTACGTTAATTGTTGATGTTGGGTCAAGATTGGGCGCTGTATTGTATGCAGTATATAGTTACAGGTTTGTTTTTTGTAATAATAAATATTTTAATTTCATATGAAACTTTTATGACATGACTACACACTTTTGCTCGAATATAATTAAGTATCCAAAAATTCTGTTTTCAAACGTATATATATGCTTTCAGTAGTGGACTGGTGAACGCTATTGGTATTGAAATGAATGAAGACTTTTGTAAACTGCAAAAAAGAGTAATTGAAAATAATGGGATGGAGGCAAACGTAAAAGTGAATACTTAAAGATCTTTTTTCATAATGCTCATTTTTTCTTCAAATGATTAGCCAGCTGGCTCATTAATACAAAATTTATCCTTTAGTGGCTTTGTTCTTGCTTCTTACATTACTTCCTTTTTTTCGTTCATATTAAATATATTGCAGCATGATTATTGTGAAAACTAAAATGTAACACGCCCTTATCATATCTAATTACAATGCTGTTAATTAAGTGGTGATCTTTAATTTTGCCAACAGAAATTACTGAATTGCTTACGCAGTTCTTATACTGATTTACTAACCTTCTTTAAACTGGAAATTGGTTGGTTTTTTTTTTTTCGCGAAACGAAGAGCAGAAACTGGATATATTTACTCAAAAACTATTTTCATGAAAGAAAAAATTTTTAATTCATTTTGTAGTTTTGTCTTTTCTACAGTAACACATCGCATGGGTTAGGTAATAGCGAAATTTAATTGATGCATTTTGAATTTTCGAAGTTTTCAGGTTATCAACGACGATGTTAGAAAACAAGCTAAAGTTGTCAGTGCTGCTGATGTTATCGTTTTACACAATGTGTTTTCATTCTTTCTTCCACTTGCTGATCAAGTAAATAATCTGCTTGGTTTGCAGTATTTTTCTTGTGAAAATGATAGTTTTAAAAATTATGTTATATTTTCTTTATCATGATTTAGGTAATTTTCGTTCTGCACATTTAGTTATTATTTATCATTCTACCAATTTTTTATGGCTAGTTTATATGTTTGAAAATTAGGACTCCATATAATATTGAACTATCATATGTGAGCTGTTTAGTGTTATTGTGCTATATTTTTGAAAATTTCCGAATTTGCAGACAGAGTGTTGGGAATTTCTACGCAAATCCACACGTCCTGGTACTGCAGTCATATCAAATCCTGCTATTGAAGCAATCACAGAACATTTAATCCTTTCATTCAGCATATCCGATTGGCTTGAAAAAGTAAGTATATCTTTCCATGGATTCATTACAAATGCACTTTTATTCTTTTTAGTATATTTATCAACCATGCCTGAATTTTACTTGAAATCAAAGAGATTGTTATTGTAATAGAAAAGAAGAACTCCGTTTATCTCTATAATCACTGAAATCGCAATCGTCGGTTCTTTTCATTTCATCCCTAATGTTCTATTGGAGCTGAAATTAGTTGGAAATAGTTTTTGTGGACTTTACGGAACATTCTCTTACAAGCAAATTTAGACCAAAATTGCCTGTGAAGTGTTATGCAACTGGCCAAAAAATAATCAAGCTTATTAAATTACAAGAGTACTAGTGATGGTTATTATAATTACAATTACAACAGTCACAGTATGGATATAATCGTTGTACTGTCAGTAATAATGGCAATGAAAAAAAAAAAAAATAAAATAAATAAACAAAAAAGAATAGGGAATAATCCGTAGGAATATTTAGATGAAAATTATTACACTTTAGATGTCACTTTAGTTGGTCCGAGATCTTGATTTTAAGAAATATCAGAGATAATAATGTTGCCTCCGTTTACCTATTACTCTTATTTTCTCTTCTTTTATCATCTTTTTTGTTTTTTACCTTCACATTAGCTTTTTAGACTGTCATAATTTCATCTTAAGAATTTAGAAAATATCAAAAATAGACGAGTGAATTAGGAAATGAAGCATATTGTAAGTTATGAAGCCATAAAAATCGAAAATATTACTATTGCTGATAGGTCCGAGTTTGAATTTCTTTTATTGCATTTTTCATTTTACTAAACCAATTCATTCAGTATTCAATGTATTCATCAGTTTATAAGACCAAATCAAATAATAATATAGACGTGAAGAGAATTACTCTTGAAATCAAAATGACACGAATTGAAATTTTAGGGAGATTGAATTTAAAATGAGATAGTGTTTTCATGGAAAATGAACTGAACTTGAGATCAGCCTGAAATAAAATTGAGTTATAGATTGAAACCGGTTATTTGGTTGCACAGTACGCAGGCGTTAACCAAGATTTGTTTAATGACTGCGTCAAGTTGACACTTTACAAAGTGAAGCATCGAGATGAAGCACGATAATGGTATGATGACACGAAATATTTTGAACAGTCGAAATAACGCTAAATAGAATTCGATAACACTTGGACATCATGGACCATTTCCTGTCATGTTAATTCTTATTTGTTAGAATAACTGGTAAAATTTATTTAATAAATTTATTAATATTATGAAATGTAGCATTGTAAAGACTTATAAAACATAACCAGATACAAAGTCATAATAACTTTGTCGTTTTCCTTTCCCTAGTAATACCGCTTGTCAATTACTTTATCCCGTATAAAAATTTTTAAATATAATCTTAAATGAGCCACTAAGATATTTTAAAAAGATAAAGTTTAACACCTATCGATTTTGATCACAATTATTCACGTCAGAATTATTGACAATTTTTAATTCAAAACATTATTAACATTTTAATTTAGTCTGAGATCACTTAACTTTTTTTAGTCCTGAATAGGACTGAAGAAATTTGAGATTTTGTTATTCTTGGTTTAAGTCATATCACAGATTTATGCCATCATTTTCTTGAATTTAAAAGAATAGAATGGAGTGGATAGACCACTTCCATTATTTGAAAATTATGTCGTGATTTTATTCAAAGTAAATACTGAAATTTCTCACGAAATTGGTAAGACGTTTTTATTGGGACGTTTTCCTATTCCGATTAACTTGAATTCCATGCTTTTATGTTTTTTATTGCATTTTGTGTTTTCTAGCCAAAATTGTTATCCGTGATTCATTTAAACAAAATCAAAAATGAAAGTAATTGCTCATAAAGATATGTTCACATTATACATTTCAGTAACGACTTTGTACAAAAAATTATCACAGGATTAAAACGATTTAAAAAGCATGATTCTATATTATTCTTGCTTCTTTCGTTGAATATCATTATTTGTATTATTAACTGATTGCAGATTTATTCACCTAATTACCTTCTTAAGATTAGAATGCCTTCCTGTTCCAATAAATCAATTCATTTTTGATGAAAGATCTTAAATACCTCTTATTATCCTGTGCTTCCTAATGCTTTTCTGATTTTTGAAAGGAACTAAGTGGTCTCAATTCCTCCAAATATAGGCAATTGAAACAATTTTTGCATGTTCATTTATTAAACAATTTTTGATTAGTGTACCATAGTTATCTAAGCTAAATGCATAGAAAAAAAGATTCAATGATAAATTTGATGCAAGTTACGCCACAAAAGTGAGTTCCATTTAAAAAAAAAAAATATTTTTGCTCTATTCTTACAAATATTTTGATTCGTTTATGAGCTTTTGGGAGCATTGATAAGATTGGAAGAGTTCTTTTCAACAATTCATAACCTTTAAAAAAACATCTGTGGCGAGAAATGAACGAAGAAATCAAACAAGAAGTTTAACTGAGCAGTAAGTTTAATCAAGTAGAAGAACATGGTCCACTGGTAATTAGATAGCTAAACAAATGTCCACAGTCCTCACTTGCCAACTCCCATCGATCGTCATCTCGTAGTACGTAGTGCATCCTTCAAAAGATCGCGATATTTATACGAGATTTTATAAAACAAAATTGATGGACTGTTAAACAAAGAATAAAATAGTAAAGGAGTACTTGGTATTAAAGTCTACCACAATTCCATTAATATTGCCACTGAAATAATAGACTTCTCCAATTTTCGGTTCTGGACAACGAATGTTACATGTTCTCAACAATACCTCAATTCGTTCTGCAAAATGACAAGATTGACTAACATAAAAACTTTTTTAAAAATGTAGAACGAATTTTACATTCCATTCGGATTAAAGTGATTTCAATTCATGTATAAATCCATGAACTTTGATGCCTTCTCTTTAAAGGTCCTCAATCCCAAATGAAATCCAAAATTTCCTTCTTCAAGAAAAAAATACCAAAAATCTGAAGAAGTTGAAATCTGCAGTTTTTGATTAAAATCTAAACCATATTTTTATAATGATTTAAACGAACAGTCCTTCTAGAATGTATAGGTCACATTTAAACAATATTACCAGGCATTTGCACTGGTGTCTTAACATTTTGTTTCCAGTGCTTTAGCGATATTTCGATAATGAAATATTCCCAGCCACTCAGGTTTTCAATCCGATAGTTTTCTACTTTTACTGTTGAACCTGCAACATTTAATTAATTTATGCTAAAGGAATTTCAGATTCTGAATTTGTCAGTTTGAAATGATTTGCTTTTTCAGTTATGACATATACTAAAAGAGCGCAAATAAATTTAGTAAAATTTGCTTTACAAAGAAAAGTCGAACGAACCAAACATGTTTTCTGAGCACAGCTCATTTTGCAAGTGCTTTTTTGTAATACTTCGACATTGTGAGCAACGCACTGTGCAACTGGCCTCAGCACAAGAACAGCTCCCATCCCAACATACCATATCGATGGTTTCCTCCAACAGTGATCGCTTGAATCTTTCCGTATAAGTCACTAACTCTTGACCTGCTATGTCTGCAAATTTACTCTACAGCTGATCATTTTATTTCCTGATATCACATAAAACCTAATAAAATTCTTGTAACACTTTTTGTCAATCTATGACACTTTTTTTACGAGTAAACAGAAATACGAAGCTGTTAGCTTTAGAAAAGTGGAATCTAATAATATGAGCTGGATAGAACTTGCAACAAATCTAGCCAGGCATATTTGTAATCGATTTCTGATGAAAAAGTGATTGCTTAAAACAGCTCGCGCTAACCATAAAGAGGATGTCGAACAGTAACTGCCACGGGAGCCAATTGATTTGGCTCATATGTGTTTCTTGGTTCCATTATTCTCAGTTCATAACAAAGCGGAATTTTCGGTTTCAACTGAAAGTATTGAATTTGGTAAACTTTCAAAAATTTGAAATGCTGCTGGATTTTTTACATATTCACGGATACTAAAAACATTGCGGGAACCCACAATAAGAAGGGAAATTTGAAAAGCTTACATCAGTGAGAACGAAATGTACAGCATAACTGCTAATTGTAATGCTATCCAGTAGATGAACCCCGTGTATAGTTGTGTTCTAGAATAGGTCAGAAAAAATTAAATTGTTAAAAATCGATTTTCTCTTGTTTTTAAAGCATATAAAACATTGATTTTGAATCATTTTACAGCTTAATTGATGGGTTGCATAATTCAAGTTTTACTAATAATTATATTTCCTTTAATTCCAGCAAAAGCAATAAATTCTTAATGAGGAACCAATTTCTTTTTGTGGTATATTTTGAATTGAAAATCCTGTAAGTTGTGGCAACTTAACCTGGAGAATTCGGAACAGACTCTCATCAGAAGTGAAACCGGTAAAAAGTCCGTGTGTCACTTCCACCGCTTCAATTAATGACGTTAGAATCCTGGAATAAATCGCACTTTATTTATAGCATTTTAATGATAAGAATTAAATCATTGTATAGCAATTGAATCATTTTAAAACACTTTTTGCCTACTGTTGACCCAAAATACAGAAAAATTAGTGGTGCGATTTCTACCCTGTTCTTGAATTAAGAACTCTTTTGCTATAAATCACGTTTTGATGGGAAGGAGTTTCTGTAAAATTTGGAGTTAATAGATGTCTAAAGTTCTTCCATTTAAATACACTTACTTTAAACAAACTTCTTGTCGAAGGACTCCCGGACTAACTACATCTTGTATTACAGTGACCTTGGTAGGATACAAATCATTTTGCTCTAAACCACGGCGCAATCGCATTCTTTTTGTAGTTAGAACTCGAATTCTTGTCCGAACTTTTGCACTTCCTTCTGTTACCAATGTTATATTACGCACTGCTACTGGCAACTAGAATTTCTTGATATAACCGTTTTGCTCATTCCTTATTTTTCAAAATACAATATTCTCGCAGAACTTAATGTTTTATAAGTAACTTACTAATTTGTAACAAAGTAAAATATCGAAAAATTAGAAGCTTAACAGTACAGTTCACATCTGTCCCTGTTTAAATAATTCATTTAGAAAGTAACAACATCTATTTAGAGCTGATCGATATAATGTAACACTAGCACTTTGTGGTCTTAATTTACAATACCGAAGAAAATAAAAAATGAGACTTTTAAGGCAGGAATAAAAAATATGCCTGAATACATGAATAATCAAAATTAAAAGGATAAAAATTTTAAGGGAAAAGAATGCCGGCAAATGGTATTATACTGCTAAACTGTACTAATAACACAAATATATTACTTTATAGTACTTACATAAAACATGACCGGTATACTGCTTACATTGTGCACCATCGATTTACACTGTTTACAAAGAACCGTTACTCGATTATGATCATTGTCACGTCGACTCATTTTCTGCATTCGGTACTCATAAATTGCTCGATTTGCAAAATATGCATCCTAAATTTGTCATTAAATTTCATAGTAAAGAAAAATATAAGCTTGTAAAATTTATTTCACTGCTCGTCTATTTTCGACTAAATCAAAATTACAAACCAATGCAAACGGAGTTTGTCCATTTTCGTTTAGTTGCTCGTAGATCCAATCAGCCAACAGATCGAGTTCAATTAGTGGAAACATCGGATCCACTTTGCGGCTTACGAATGCCAACAAACCCAGCGAATTGATCAGTAAATCACCACTCTTTTGAAATCAAAAAGACTGAATGAATTGAAATTTAAATGGCAATCAAATTTTGAAATGATGACTGAGCTACTATGAAGCCTTAAGGAACTTAAATCTTTAAAATTCACTCGAGAGGGTATAAAAGTGTTATGTTTTCACATACCTATTTTACTACTACTGAATATTTTATTTTCACTTGAATATTTCTCCTTTATATTCTGAATGCATGACAGCCTTGCAGGAAAATGCGGTAATTTAGGTAATTTATTGAAGCAAATTAGAGAAATTCAAGTGGAATTCCATATCATGCGATTCAAAGATTTTTATGAAAGCAAGGAATTGAATAACCATAGCAATTCGATGTTTCATATTATCGCTAAATCCGAATCCAAGCTTTGCCAGCAGTGAACTACTACTTGACGTTCTTTCAGTTGTCCAATATGGAGGCATGCCATCTGCAGTATTACACTAACATGTTGGGAACTTCTTAACTTCAAAATTCTATTGGTTCTCATTCATAGCAATCAGTTAAGGCATGTTTTTGCGAATACCAATCTCACAGAGGAAATATCACGGCTTCCCTATTTTCTTCGTGATCTAATGATTACAGCAGCAGTTCTAAAGCAATCTTACCTTTCGCAACAGAGTACAGCTTAATTCGCATGATACTGCTCACAGATCGTGGGGCCATGAACGCTAGTGCAGCCACAGTACGTATATTCAGTGCAGTATGATCTGGAAGGCTGAAGAAGCTCTTCCGCAAGCTAATCCAAACACGATCGTTACGCTGCAAATAGTATGAATTTGCTAACCTAATTTGTTAATAGAAACCAGCTAATTCCTACTGTTAATTCTATTCTGAATTTTAGCATTAAGTTGTTTTTTTAATATTCTTAAAAATAAATGTAAACAAAAAAAAAAGATTCCTAAATCTATTCACCGCACACTGGTACACAACACAATCGGAAGCCAACTGATTTACCATTGCTTTGACAAACCAATACCTATCTTCCACAGTTGTCTAAAAAAGGAAGGCAAAAAAAGTGTGGAAGAACCAGAAACTTTATCTTTGCTAATTAAGCCAAAAAAAAAAATCAAGATGGAAAGAAATCAGGAAGAAGTTGAATTCGATTTCAATCTTGGAAAATAACGGAGAATGAAAAAAAAGTGCTGGGTAGCATACGAAATCCATATAATCCAGAAAGTAATCCACCGGAAGCTGAGAATCCATATCTTTAGCCATTTCATTCAAAAGATAGCTGAGCAATGGACAAACAATCCGTTCATCAACGGCAGCTTCACAAAGCAATGATGTTGATAGCGTCGTCAAACTGAAACAATCAAATTATTAAATCTGCTGAAATCAACTTTGCTGTAAGTTTTATGTTATGAGTATCAATAAGAAAATGATGAAATTCAGTAACGGCGTAGAAAGATGCATACAAGAATGATTCTTCGTGAAGCTGTTTTGGCTTCCTGTAATTGGAGAAAGCGCATGATCGAGAGGTTGCACCATGACAGTTGGAGAATGTTAACATCGCAGACGTTACTGGAATACAGAGAACACCATCGGCTTAGATGATTGTGTTTGTGTGTGTGTGTGTGTGAGAGAATAGCTCACTAAAGTTGGCCTAGTGAAGACTAACAATCTCCAGTCCTTTTCAAATTAAGCAATCAATAATTTATGCTAATCATCTACTTTACACGCATTCTACCGTACACTGATTATCTTCTTTAAAAAAAATATGCTTTGCTGATTACTGCAGTGTAGCAATGACTAGTTAAGAATTAGTTAACTTAGTCGAAAAAATGACTTACATGACCCAATGGAATCATCTAAAGATTCAAATTCACGATAAGTCTTTTTGTCAAGAGGATCTAGTGATTTGAACTGATATAATGTTGGAGCAAATGAGTTGATAATATCAGTGAGGAACGACTCATATCCCAAAATAGTTCTTTTCCTACGATAATTAAATCGTAAACTTCCTTCATTTTGAGTGGTCGAATCCAGAATTAGTCCTTCTGATAAGAATTCTAAAGAGATGATATAGTAAGAAATTTCAAATTTTCAGAAATAATGACAGAAAATCGAAACTCGTCAATGATCAGAAAGAAAACAAACGAGAAAAATCGATAGTAATGCCATAGATCGATTCAGTATCAGGTAAATTAATGCTAATATTAGTAAATAATTTGTGAGGATCTCGCTCTCTTCGATATTCATTATAATCTAAAAATTACAGTTAATTAAACCTGTTGAATATTAGACATTTACTTGACATATGAATGATATATTAAAATAGTAGAAACAAGTCATATCATTTCAGCTGGTTTCAAATTTTCAAGAACCATTAATCTTCTCCCATTTCCTTTCCCCTTCTTATTTTAAAGCAGTCCGGATCTAAGCTTTGTTTCCTATAATCGAAATTCGATTCTCGTATAAACAATAGAATTGCTTTTTCATTACCAATGACATTTTTCTTCTTTCCTCTTTCACTCTCCATTATATAATGTACATTAACAGTACGCGTTAAAAGACTAAGTGCTTTGCGTGGATTCAATATCAATCGTTTAAAATATTCCGTTGTTTCTATCCTTTTCTGCAAGTAATAACTTATTCACTGTGTTGCGACACAAATTCAAAGACGATAAAGTATTATAGGTATATTGATTGGTTTATAGAAAAACCAAATTCTCCTGTTAAATGTCAAGTATAGAATTAACTTACAGAGACAATAACTTTCAATTTGACAACGTCGAATATTTCACCTACATCACAGTGGTACCGTCCAGGGTATGATATTTCTTCTTTCAACGTAAATATAACTTCTGCTTCTCCAAGACGCAGAAATCTGTGAAAGTGGCTAGCATAGCGCCAATAAAAGCAAAAAAAAAAAAAATTAAACGAAACTTACTTCTTATTGAATAATTGTTGAAGTAAATTAGATCATAGAGATAAAACGAAGCAAACCTAAGGGCAAATATTCTGACAGAAGTTGTAACTGTTGTTGTAAGATGAATTCGGGTGTAAGCGGGCTGACCTCGTTCGCCATATGCACCCATGTCAGCGCATACGTGTCTAGCCAGTTTCATCATGCAAACCGAGAGCTTCAAATAATTTACATTACTTGAAAATATAACTGCTGTCCAAGTAAAGCCATGTTATCACGCTATACAAGTGATTGCACTGTATTAATACACTTATAACATATGTAAGTCTGAAATGCAAGTTTTAAATTCTTTTCCCTTCTTCTTAAAGTTCACCGTCATGTCCTCTTCTATTTTTTCGGCAAAAATTGAGACTCGTGCGGTAACAGATTCATTGATATAGACATGATGTGGAAGATCGACTGTCATATAAAGCTTTTGCTGTGTAGATATAATCAATGGAGCACTGCGACAAATTGTAAGATCACCCGGTGTCCATGCTGAAGACTGGACAGACCATTGCGTTACTGTATCTGGTACTCGGATCGTTAGATTCAGCCTACCTGAGGACCTGAATGTAGGATACAAAACTTTAAAATAGCTATTGTATTCAACTCAGTAAAGTATTTCAAACTGTGGAGGAGTAGAATTCGCAGTTCATTTCTAGGTTTTAAATTCAAAAACGAATTTCGTTGAAAACAGCCTTATATTGCTTTTCTTGACATAAGAAATTTAATGCAGCTTTTTAGTGTTAAATCTCGCTTCTGTTTGGTTACCAAATACTTTTCCAAAATAAGCCAGCTAATATTTTCAACTTAAGAAACTCTAATCAGAGAAAAAACGCAAACCCGAGATTGTAGTCTTCGAAAAGCCAAACTTCTGGAAAATATTGTCGAATTACCGCACTTAAATCCGTTTTCTCTCGGAATAAAACAGAAGAAGAATCGTCAAGTGTTGTTCGGTTACGTGTTAGGAAACTTATGCTTTTCCATTGCACTTGAGCAGAAGCCAATTTCACCGCACTACCATCTTTGTCGACACCACAACCATGTCCAGTTTTCCGATCGCATACCTTGCTTGTGGCTGAAACTATGGTCGTAGCTGATCTCTTGTTACATAGTTTCAAGTTAAAACATGGCCAAACAAGACAAATCTCGATACAGTAATCTTAAATTTCTAAAATAATTTTTCAGACCGATTCAATAACAGTTTCACTAACTTGTTTGGCTAGTCAGGCGTTCACAAGCCAAAATGAAGGAACGCAAACAAATATTTGAAATGGCTGATGGCGATTCAATAAAATTTGGACAACGTTTCAGATGCTGTAACATTAGCACACCGGCTTCTTCACATGTTTCTTCTACAACATTTTTGTTAAAAAAAAAAAAAAAAAAAGATTTAATGAATGAACAAATTTTTAGTTTAGAATTAATTAAATGATGAATCAACAAGTTATTCGAAGACAAGAGAAATTTTGAGACATTCTATTATCAAAGTTTTAAGTTAAATTCTTTATTTACAACTTTTCGCAAAAGATATCTATATTACCAGTTCAAGTGAAATTCGAAAACACTTTGAATGCTTACCTATTTCGTTTTTTAAATTCTTGGAATCAGTGAAACCAAGAAATAATGTTCGTAAGGAACGCTCCATCACTGACAAGTCCCAGTATTTAGATCTTGAATGTGATAAATGTTTCTGTAAAAATAAACATTATTTGTTCTGAAATTTTCAATACTTATTAAATCTCGGTTAAATTTCATAGAATAACCTGCATGAGTTCGTGCATTCGTATATCGACCGCCGATAGTAAGGCGAGGCTGTTGAAACGACCATTTATTGCTACCGTCAAGTTGTCACTTACTTTAACTAGTGTTTTGGAAACTGATAATGAATTCTAAAATCCTCAGAATTAAGATAAGGACAATGAATATCTTGCTTTACAAAAGAATCACTTGTGGAAATCAGATTAAAGAGAAAGAGAAAAGGATAACTTGCGGAATTTTATCATTTTAAAATTATTTCTCATAAAAGTTCCAATACAACACTACACTACATAAGAAGGTTCTTCATAAATATCAAACCTTGCAGAATGATTCAACAAAAAAGAGAATCGTATCTATTTGTATTGTTCCACTTGCGCTAAACACGTGCAATGCGCAATAAGGTACCATAACATCTGTCGTTTCAAATATTATTTTACCATCATCACGAACATGACCGACTTCCGCGATAGTTTCATCCTGGCACAAGACCTTAATTTACAAGAGCTTTAAATTCTCATTTAATACAGGATTCTCGAGGACATCAAACTTTATTTCATAACTTTAGTTGTGGGTAAATAAGCCACCAAGATTCTAAAATCAATCACCAAAAACCTACAGAATTACCCATAACCAAACGAAAAAGATGAAATGGGTAGAGCGAGCAAGTAGAAACTGAGTTGCATGTTTATGAATTTCCTACTTGAGCCAAGTCCTGGGCCTATTAATACTAATGTAAATTGTGAATTCAAACCAAATAATTCAATTTTGATGCCAAATGTAATGGCACTGAAGCTCGAAATTTTTCTCCAACTCGATATGTTGCATTACTGGGAAGTGACCACTGAATCCAACCATACTGTATCCATTCTGAATGATCAACCGATGGTAGCACCAAAGTGACGGGGCGCGAGAACCGCCCACTAATTTTGCGGCGACCCTAAAGGTTTAAATTCTGACTAAAATATTGTTGTCGTGAAAAGTCTAAGACTGTAATTGAGGACAAAAGTAGTAAATCACAAAGCATACCTTCCTTTTTATGACAACAATGAAACAAAAGATTTACTTCGCCCGAAGAAAGGAGAAATAGCTAAACATATGGACAAGAATGTTCTTTTCCAGCAAACTGTTCCGTTTTTTGCTTCAATAATCTCTCAAAACATTGCTCACATTTGCCTCCTTCCCTGTCTTTTCAAGGAGTCTGTATTAAATATGATATTAAAAAACAAAAATTTCCCGCTTATAAATGTTTGAGATTTAAGGTAATTTTCTAGAGATATGGGATATAGGTGTTTACAAAAAAAAATTATATAAGCGTAGAAGTCCCTTGATGCTGATTTGATTTTTGTATCCATAGAATTAAGTCAAAATTTCGAGTTATCTTGTCACTTCACTTGGGTTTTTTCTTATTTCATTTACTCGAACGAGACTTTTAATATTTGGAAGTGTTTAAAAAAATCGTCGTGTACATAATCTAAAATTGTGCATAAAAAGACCCATTAAAACACTTTTTCTTTACATAATTCTTTACAATATCAAATGACTTACGCTACAAAATAAAAAAATCGTTTTCTGCAGTACACACCAATCCTGAATTTTATTTTCTCCATCTACTCTTTAGTTTGTAATAAAAGACTTAAGACAGTGGCTCAAAAGCTCCAAAGCGACCTAATAATTTTATCTTGGCCAAAGATTGTCATAAAAATCAGAATCTATGCAAGTCTTTCCCGAATTAAACACTTTGAGATATCTTTTTCCTTCTTTTCTTCTTTAAAGGAATTTCATTGAATATCTCTGATCTATGTTGAAATTTGAGTGAAAATAGAATTTTGAACTTTTACTTGAAGAGAAAAGATAACCTGTATAAGTATTACTCGACAACTATGTTCATATAAGTTGGGTGAAAATGGTATAGTTAGAAGCAAACCAATTACTCCCTTATATCTTCTCAAATTAAGAGTTTGTTTTTTATCTGTGGAAATACATCGAACATTAATTTCCACCTCTTGGGCTCTCATCGAAGATAGACCTGTTGATTTTATCTGTAACATATTCTTACATTACTTTTTAAACTTTCTTAAAAGTAATTCACACTGTGCTATCTATCGACTTCTCACATCACAATCTTTTCATTTCATTTTCTCCTCTCTTATAATAATCGAAGTCGTATCTGAAACTGCAATCAATCAAAGAAAAATCAATTAATTCAGCTTGTACCACTAATTTTGATTAGTACTTCTTAATCACTTTGGCTCTGTTAATTATTTTCTCAGAAAATGAGACAGCAAATATCCCTTTGGATAAAAGTCGACCGATGTTTGTATTTCTATCTTTTAACTGCTCACCAATATAGATATGTTTGAAGAATCGCGATAATATCCGGGTTTCAGAGGAATGAGTTCGAAACTTGTCAATCTATTATCGATTTCTATGTCGCGTTTAACTCGACTTCCTGTACCTTGATCTAACACTTCTGCCGTAAGTTTGGCCAAACTTGTTATAGTGCTTCTACCACATCCAACAATGTTTATGCGGTCAGACCAGTGACCTGAATTTATCTAAAAACTTGTATTCAAATTCAAATTAAATCCTAATGCAATAAAATTTCTGTTAGATATGAGTTTGACTATACAACTATCCAGCTTAAAACTATTCCAATTAATTTGAATCTTGACAAAATTATTGGGTTATAGCAAACAAGTGATAAATATACATTTCATGCTATTTCATCCATGAACCTCTAACATGATGCAGTACTTTTATGGTAAGAGGTTGAGTTTTCAATTTATGCATTAAAGTATTATGCAGCATAATATATGTTACCAAAGAAGAAGAAAGAAAGAATGGAATTCTTCTGACCTTTTTGCGCATAATTAGAAGGAATTTATATGGCATCTTTTCTCGATGAGCACGTTACTTCTGGTATTGTTAAATTTTAAGAAGCAGGTCGAAGGCTTCGTTAACTATGAGAAGAGAGAAGTTAAGTAAAATAGCGAGACCATATCATTGACAGAGCTTTTAAAGGAATAGTTACAAAGAGATGGCTGGAAGAAACACTCCTTGGAATGAAAATGATTTCTAAGGAATTTTTCACCGCACTAAGAAATTTTTGTATTATTACCGATTTAATCCAGTTTTCCATCTATTCGTTCTTTTCCACAGGAATTTTTGAATAAATTAATAATCGTTCCCATGAATTAATAAACGACTATTTTGCATAAGAAGATAGAATAAACAGAAATTTTACAACTGTGCAAATCTAGGGACTTTAATTGAAGACTACAGAATCGTCTCATCACTTTGAAAAGTGACTATTAAAGTAGTCGGAATTTTCACACTGATCTAATATCCACCTCCGGTATGATTGTGATAAAAACACAACTAATTTCCCTTTGGTATTTCATGAAAGCTAAGATGAGGGATAAAACTTTACATTACATCACATAAATTGGTGTAATAAACTTTGTGACTCAGAAAAGACCTAAAAATGCTAAGTTACTTTGAGAAACTGGGTCAAACATTCGAATCAATGACATTCTTGAAATATGACTGAGAAATATTTACGCATTTGGATGAAATAATTTAGAAAAAAAATGTGTATTAACAATCTTTTCTTAACTTTTCTTTCAAAATAAATTTTTCTGTATCGCATCGAATCTTCTGCTCAACGAAATATTTCCTTCCTGTTGGAAGTGAAGTAATAGTATAATGATAAAAGAATTAGCACAATGATAAATGACAATGATAATATGAAAATATACAAATGCTTATATTCGAACGTGTTTTTCTGCCATCGAAGCAGCCTGCACCAAAATGCTTGAGATAATCACACACTATTGTTTGAAATTCCATGTCCACAATGGGGCACAATTCCATATTTCGTAACGCTGATTGCATGGTGACAGTATTGTTGACCAGTCATTATTAGTGCTATTTAAGGTATGTATCACTGTTTGATTTTTCACTGTTGAAGAATCAATAAAATCAGCAGACAGAGTATGCTTTCTTGCACCCATGCCAATTCTTAATCCGGTATCAAATCCATCTCCTATTCTTCCTGCACCTTTTTTGAACTCTCTCATTCCTAAATAAGCACAGGGTTGCTGTTCCGGTAATGTTAGCAATGGATAATATGATGATGCACATAAATGTTTATAGCATTCTTGTTCATATCGTGCTATCGCTGCAAAACCGTTTTCATCATCAATTTTCATGCTTGCCAGATAGCGATTAATAATACGTTGTTGAATGGGCATTTGCTCTGTTGTCGATAAACTCCTATAACTATTCTTTGTTACGAATCCGTATTTTTAACTTTATCCGCAGAGACAAGTCTGGAACGAGAATCATTTTAAGGTTTGGAAGTTCTGGAGCAATATCCATTTTTTCTCAAAACACTGAACAATTTTCATTTTTACGATATCTTAGGAATATCTGTCCGATAGCAACAACTATCCACAATCATACTTCAGCGAACTGTTCTCAAATGGAATTATTGGAATAAGAATAATGAAAAACAATAAGTATCCAGCCAAGTATTCATTTGATTTGATGTGTGAAAAACTGATTGCAGCATTAAATGCTATTTTTTGCATCTATTCCAGGTTGCTTTTTTCCTCTAGTAATTGCACACTGCTTTAGTATTGAAATCCTTTTTTGAGACTATAATCGGTAAGATCTAACCAATAAAGATAACGTAAATGCAAATATTGCAATTATTAAAAGTAATTAGAATGAAAATTACAGCAAGTTAGCACAAATAATAAATTACATAATATTAAGTGATCAAGGCCGGTAACTGATAAGTGCTTCAAACAATCAGTATCGTGAAAAGTAAAATAAGAGCAGAGAACAAAAGCTGAAATTCTTTTAAAAAGATATTGCAGTAAGGATTATAAAGCCAATTATACCATTTAATTGGATAAAAATATTACGCAAGATATTCCACTGCGACTAAATCATATATTTTAATCGAGTAATTATAACTTCTTTTAACTAATTAGAAATATCATTTCCATTTCAATTTTCCATATTATATTGCATCTATCTCAGGCTACAGCCTTGTACAAATTAATTTGATATCAAATTTAACTGCATTCTAAATGAGTTATCAAAAAAACCCATCATCGGTTTTGATGGTCACAAAGAGACTTATAGTGCAGATACTAATTTGGAACAATATCCTTGTTCACTTACAAAAAATATGAATGTACTCATCAATACTCGTCAAATATTGTACATATAAATGGAGATCGAAAGATATAAATTTTATGAGCATATAAGCGATTTGCTTTGCATGATATGAAAACTCTGATACTAGCATTTGTTTTGATTTATGTTCTCAAGTTAGAGAAGTCTTTTCACTGCAACATGTTGTACGATTCAGAGCAAAGGCATATCTCCCTCTCATATTATAGGCTAAGGCTAGCAGATCATAAGACAAATTTTGCCAATATTTTAAACGAAGCTATTTGTTCAACTATTATAGTAAAGCCAGAATATACCAACGTTAGATAACGTTAAAGTTATTCAAATTATAAGCTTAATCCTCTTTAGCAAGCCACTTACTAAAACAGCTTAACTACAGTGTTGAAAATTTCAAAGCAAAAAATATATTTCTTAGAACATAAACACTTTCGATGAGTCAGTTTCATAGGATTTTCCGGTAAGAATTCAAAAAAGGCAGATTTGGAGAGAAGTTCATATTTCAATTTTCTTATTTTTAATTGAAATCAACCTCCTGGACTTTTTTTAGAATGGGATTTTTTTCGAACACCAATAATTATCAGAGCTTCAGATTAACTGAAAAACTAAACAAAAATGTAATGTCAGGATTCCACGGAGATTGTGTTCCTTATTTGTGAAAACTAGAAGTTAATTTAAATAGCCTTTAATTACTAAAATAAATATATATATATATATATATATATATATATATATATATATATATATAAGTTCAGTAACAAATTACAGCCACCCTTAAAACCTTTCTGTAGCTTGGAGAAAAGAAACAAAATCAACGACAACAGTACTTTTTTTGTTCAGAAGTTAGTATCTGGTAATTCTAGCAAATTTAATCAGAAGCGGTGAGAGAAGAGAATGAAGCTGTCGAGAGAATCACGTTAAAAGCTAAAGATCCAGAATAGTAAAGTGAGCAGGAGAAATCTAATCGTATTAAAACAGGAAATTTCAGAGAAACTGATTATAAAAAAGGTGCAACCTTGTTGGTGGAGGCACGATTGGCGCTCGACGAAAATAAGGTGTATCTGGTAATAGATGATATGGTGCTGGTAAATTTAGAAAACGATTCTTCTCATTTCCACTATCATGTGATATCTTCTCGTAAAATTGACCTGACTAAAATTTAAATCCTACTCCATGAAAAAATTGTCCTGTAATAATGAAAATTGTTTAGGCTAAAAGAAAAAGGCAACAAAAAAGCTCGTAATCACCACGCACTTCAGGCACATTAGCTTCAGAAATTTGTTTCAACAAAAAAGCAGTGGCTGGTGATGGTCTAGTACCCGGTCGTTCCGGGGATGGCATATTTTCCTTGAGGGTCATTACTGAAGCGTTTGGATAGCACGGAATCTGATGTTTGCTTATACAATTGTTAGAATTGCCTTGGAACGGATCAGCAAATCCGAGTAGCTTCGCATCACCAATAATATACGGATCACTCTCATCCTTATCTTTGATCGCTGCAAGTGCCAATCTTTACCTTTATCTATGTCTACTGACTAACTCTTCTAAGTATGCCAAAGGATCAGTCTTAAGCTTATTAATAAAAATTTGTAGTGGATTACGAAATATTTCAACTACTAATTTCGGTAATTTTCCTAGTGATAGCTGCAGTAGAGAAATAGATGATGGGATTATTAATTATCGTGTGGACCACATTTGACCCTAACTTTGCCATCCTCATTATGCACTTTCATCTTTCTCTAAACCGTCGCTTTAACCGGTCATGCAGAAGCTTCTGAATGAGCTCCATTATGAAAAAGTTTGAAAGAATTATTTACTGGCTCATATCATGCTTCTTAAGATTTTCATTAACAAATTGTCTTCCTTACTATTTCACAGACATAATTTCTCCTCTTCTACACTTTTATTGTTGTCACTACCACAAAGTGTTGTAATGACAACGTCACAATATCACCGCACTTTGCCTCCAACTTCGGAATAATCTATTTACATTGATGAGAAGTGCAGTTCGTCACGTCAACAACAGTTAGTTTGCTATTCACAAATAAGCGAGTTCGTTTGAAACTCCACAATTTCAATAATCTTCCATTCGTTTCCATTTTGTCGCCACATATCTTTCAAGTTTTTCCATTTTTAAATTTGAAGTAAACGTCATCGCAATAGAACACAAAGTGAAAATTAACTTTAAATACTTTTTTTCAAGTTTTTCGTTTACTTAGTACATTCACTGAGAAATCAATTCGGTCTGCATTTACCTCAATCAATCTGTTTCCGGTAGCTGACCAAGCAAAAACTATCTCTACATTCTTCATAAGTTTATCTAAACTACACTTTATAAATAATAGTTGATACTGACAAACAGTCTGGAATTAACTGTGAAATTTAGTCAAACTTGAAATCAACAATTCTGCATTTGTGTACCTTAATGGCTTTCTCTTTTTCAGTTTCGTTACTGAACACAATGATGTAACCGTTATTGTCGCTTATTCGAATCCATTTTACTTCTTTTATATTTCCATATCTATAAGCTCAAATTCTCAAAATTTGTTGCAGTTTTTTATTTCTTCAAAAAACAAAGAATTTGTATTGTAAACGTTTTCATTTGCTAATATATCACGTACATAAACAAAATCTACATAAGATGAGCTTTTCTGTTAATTGCAGAATAAAATTCCTACCGATAAGGCAAGCTCTGTCATTAATTTTTTTCTTATAAGTAATAAAATAGATTTCCTGTCCATTTTTCTATAAATTTTACTACCTGATGCGAAGTCCAATAATGTATATGTTTTTTTCCCTATGTTGGGTTTAAAATCTCCCTAAGCATTACAAAATCTAAATTTTAGATCATGAAATAAAAAGATTTTGATGTTTTTAGATAGAAAAAGATAATTAAGAGTGGAGAATGGAACATGAATTTTAACCTAACTTTAAATATCCGAATCCGATTATTTAAAAACTTGAATTAAATGCTTAGTAAGGCTTTTGTAAATATTAATTTAAGCGATCCTACATCTTCAAAATATTTGCTAAAACAAGTAAAATTTATACTTCAGATCTGCAGTTCATGGCAAAGGATGTCTCAACATTCTCACTGTTTCTTCAAAATGACCTTGTAGGTGCCACGTGGTGTGCGGGATGAAAGAAGCATGTTTCGCCCTTTTTTAAAATATCTGAATTTTAAAGTTCTTCGGTTTTACTCAAACTCATCTTTTTTCAAGCGTTCATCTTCTAACATTAACGAACCGTGAGAATATTTGTGCTACTTCGTTTTCGGATAAAAAATTTCCGGATGACAGTGTTGCAAATATGGACAATGATGAGCTGTACAGTGGTGTCCATTCTTGCAGATAATTTCTGGATGTTGTTATTTCATTGTTAGCATCATTGTTATCATCATCACCACCATCACCGTCACCATCATCATTATTATCGTCATTTCCGTTAGAGAATATTGATATATAAGAAAACAATCCACTAACATCCACTGCCTTAGCCGACAGAGATGATTCGATTGCTGAGCTTATATCACCTATTTCTTGAGCGGGCCCTAAAGTCAGGATCAAATCTCGAATAGTTTCACTAGCTGCATCCTTATCAAGATTCAATGGAATGCCAGTGGCATCGATCATAGTACTTCCAGTACTTCCCATAGTATTTGCAGCTGAAACGGTTAATGTTGTTGAATTCCTAATCTTTGCTGAAATTGCCGTAAAATCGGATGTCTTTGCTCGGAATAACTTCAATCTTTATCAGTCTTGTCGCTTTTGCTCGATGACTGCACAGAAAGGCGTTTGAATGTGACACATACAATTGTCACCTTTCTGCTTGCTCAGAAACAAAAACACTAGCCGAACGGTTTTCCAACTAATATAACAATAACCGTAATTTTTCTAATTTTTTTAATGCTATTCTAAATTGCATCAAATTTGCATTCTCATTTAAAAATACGAATAGCATTGCACAAATTTTCAAAATATTTTGAATTACATGTGACATGAACGTACATTCTATTCAAATAGAAAGTATGATATTTAATTGAAAATTTAACAAAATTCTCCAGCAGACGATTAAAACTAGAAAAACAGGTGAGCAGAATTGCATAACAAACCTTCAGTTTTCCAGTTTTTGTGCACTACTAGGTATGATTTCAGACAGACTCATAGCACCACTTTCTCTAGAAAATGAATTTAATAGTTTTTTAAATGAACACCGAATTATAAAAGTCCAAAAGATGTTGAAACTGGATAAATCTTACTGAGCAAGAACTAGTTCCGTTTTTCGGGAAAATTCTTGATCCTGATGAGAATGATCTTGGTAAAGCTTCAATATATAAGCTTTAATCTTGATATTCGCAATTATTTCTTAAATATAATCTGCTTATAGCTTGCACAATGAAGAAATCTTAAAATGTTGTAAAAGCCCAAAAAAAACGTTGATAAAAAAACAACCTGATAAAAGCAGAACCAGATTTCTTTAATTCTAGTCACCTTTGTTTATAACTAGAGAAAAAAGAAAAAAAATCGAGGAAAGAAAAGACTGAGGAGAAGTGTGACTAGGACTTTCACAACTAATTTTCCATCTCCTCTCAAGTGCCAATCAGTTCTGCTGTTCCAAGCATTAATTTGTCTATCCAACGTGATGCAAATCGATTATGTCTTTCCACGTGACAATTAAGTAAAGGAAAAATCAGTAGTACTAAGCGTCAATTACACGACAAAGCAACGAGCCTCTTGTTGTCCTTTTATCTTAAGAAAATTTTTGTACAAAATGTTTGTTGAATTTTCCTTAAACTTACCTACACTTCAGGGCTCATGACTTCAAGTTAAGCATCTTTAAATGAAGTCAAAAAACTGTAAGCATAATTTTATAAATCACTGATCTTCGGTCAAACTTTTTTCTGCTATTAAAGATTATCGGGAGAGATGTAATTTCAATAGAACTATTGCGAATCCTATTTCTTGTCATTTCATGTATTTTAAATTTTATGTTTGGATTTCTGAGATTTGCAAGTTTTGTAGATTCGATTCCATTCCTGTTTGCCATTGTCTTCTCCGACTGAATGACTAAAGCAATGCTGATGCAATTTTCATCCTTTTAGACAAAATATCTATTCAAAATATACATTATTTTGCTACAAACAAACTGGATTGATAGTAGATGCTTCTTTCAAATTGACGTTAACTCAAACTCAAATATATCAAGTTTATTCTACTGCGTTGACATTGTGACTGGCAGAAATGCATCATTCCATTTCTTATCGACAAATGTCCTAAGATTAAACATAATCAAGCGAAGTAGTATGCTTGATACTCATTGTAATTTGAAAATATAAGTTCATATATTGAGAAATACGAGTTCTTTATCAAATAAAATGGCATTAAAATTTTTATTAAAAAAAAGTAATTGAAAAATCATTCTGCTTGTAGTGGTCACAAATTAATTTGTTGTAATTACTTCAAAGAAAAATTATACAGCTGTAAAAATTTCGTGCTAATTAGATATATGCATTAAATTGTTCACTTAACATTTTAAATGACTGAGAGTAATTGCTTTATAATTGATTGCTTTACTTTTCAAAGTTTTCTAGAACGTTTTCAAAAATATTTTCTTGTCCTTAGAAGCAATGATCTCTGAGGACAGAGGATAATTTTCATCGAATACTTCAAAAAGCTTAATCGATTATTGTGTGAATAACTGGAACAATTTCTCAAGAGTTCAATTCTTACTATTTTCCAATCTTAATCAAACAATTTCTATTTTATTATTGTATTCTCCGTCATGAAGAATTATTTATAAGTTCAGTAACGAATTTGTTTATTCATAATTCTGTTATTGTTGTCTTTGTTAAAGAATAGATAATGATCGGCCAGAATTAGATCAATTGCAATAAGTCTGAGTAATTGTTAAATTTAGAATATTAATGAAAAACAACAGATTAACCTGATAGCTTGAGAAACACTGAAACAAATTGGAATTGAAAGGTTTATTATAAATTGATTTTAAATTAAATACTATTGTAGAATCTTTTATAAATTATAAGTCGGATTCCAACAAAAATTACAACGGCTTAGAACAGTATCATAACGTAATTATGACAGAAAGCAGAATTAGGAATAGAAAAAAAAAGTGGATTTAAAAGCGCCATGTTTGCAAGTCTTAAAATTAAAGAAGCTAACCTTAGACGATTTTAGAATGCACAGAAATGACTTTCCCGAATCAGACGGTATCACTGACTTGCTGCTGTTTGCATTACAATCGCACCAAATAGTTATTTGCCCCGATATTTGCCGGCCATTAGCATGTCTAAATTTTGAGATTCTCAAGTAATTATTATATGAACTAATTGAAGAAACTAAAGAAACCCCAATCATTTTATAAATCACAACCACAAATCCATAAATCTGGATAGAAATAATGATCATTGTTGAATAGTTCATTGGATCAATTTTTTGTTTATATTTTCTAAGGGAATTCTACCTTGCCAACACATCTATTTCATACAAATCAATGTCATTAGTTTCTGTGGCCAAGGTATGAACGCGAAACTGTGATAGCTCTGAAAATATCGAAACTTTCGTATTTTATTTAATCTTTAAGCAGATTTTAATTCTGATGTAAACCTAACCTATTTTATTTGATCGAATCAAGCTGGAAAGAAGAACTAGATAGCTAGGTAGAAATATACATATAGCTTGACAAAAAACTAGATAGAACCATGCTGAAAAAAAAATTAGATAACTATTTTCTCGGTAAGTAGGACAGAAGGCTTTCAGACCAAAAAGAATTCAATATCTAGGAAAACTGGATAGCTGTTTTTCTTGCTTGCTAGTGTTTATGAACTTTAGCATTTGAGAAGCCTTAATCAAAGAAAGAAGTGGCACCGTATTTTTGCACTTGAAATGTAATTGAGTAGGTGTGAGGCTTATGGCGATCTGGTCGTGCGACAATCTTCCATTCTCCAAAAGCCAACTGGTCTGGCAATTGAAACTCTACGGCAAGAAATCGAGTTTTAGAATTCGATCTGGTTTTATGTATCAGTTCAAAACCATCCGGATTCTAAAACTGTTAACCTTTCCACTCAAAAACTTTGCCGACTTCGGTTACTGATACAAAACAAACAAATTTATGTATTTTGCGAAGTAATTTATCTGAAACGATCTATTTCGAATTAGTATTGTGGAAGCAATCTAGCATATTTGCATTCAACTAATAAACATTTAAAAGTATTTCAATTCAGCATACCAGAAGCGCAAAATCCACTGATCCTACATACAACTTTCCGCTTGTAGTGAGTGGTAACGCTCGTACTTTAACTGCAAAACAGATTTTTTAAATATTTTTATCATTTGCTTATCATCATAAGAAATGAAAAATATGAAAATATATTTCGAAGTCTTTCTTTAATAAATCCGAAGTAATAGATTAACTTTTCCTTCTGTTCTCTGATTATTATTTCCAAAATGTAGAAGCGTTAGGGTTTTAATGCTAAGCTTATCAATGATTGCCTTTCAATTTCGTTGAATTCCTAATAAATATTTTAAATTCATATACCAGTATCAGTTGGTTTATAAACAGTTTTGTCAGTCTGTAAATAAATGTTTCTTAGATCGGGTGCACCCGGTATTATTTCTTCAAAAGGCTCACTGTCGTTCTCAACTCGAACCACTAACCGATAGGAATCAGACTGTTCTGATCCACCCGGTACAAAGAACTTTACACGATTTAGTGACCCTGCAATCAACATCAATAATCATCTCTTTGACATATTCATCTCTTTCCGATATCCTTTCTATCTACAAATTAACACTTTAGCTATGTTTGAATAAATAATAAAGAAATAAAATATATTGCTTCTAAAAACGGAAATTGGGGAAGATCACTCACCGGCAACTTTCCTTTGTAATGTTTGTCGGAAGACTAATAACGAAGGGTAGAAAGCATGAATTTCTATGCCAATATCAACGAGATTATTTGCGGAACTGCTGGCAGATATTAGCATCTCATTGATTGCATTCCATCTCAATGTTGATTGTGTCACAACCAAAGGTTTCCTACAAAAAATTACAAACATGAACTGAGATTTCCTCATATATTTTAATGCAATTCTAATAAGTATTCAAATGTTATCCTGCAATTTTGATAAATGGATTAATAAATTATGCTAAATAAATTTTGATAAATACATTAATAATAAATAAAGCATTAGTGGAAGAATATGACTGATTTACTTACTGCTCAGTCCGATGAAGTTTCATTAAAAGTAGAATACAAGTAAGCAAAAGCATAGTTGTCATCTCGGTTTTTTGTTTCTTCATTTTTTGTGATATGAAACGAACGATGATAAAATATTGAAACTATTGAATGATGAGTGGAATAATCAGTGTTATTAATATTTATTCGGTGGCCATGGCTAGACAAATTTTTTGGTACATCCCATTCTCCTAAAAATGTATTAGCAATTCTTTAATGTATTTCATTTTTTCAATAATTTGAATTGCCAACTCTTTCAATTAATTGTAGTTAAACTGGAAAAACGATAAAAAGCTCAGTAAAAAAATCTTTAAAATGATTTTATCAAATCAAAGTACTAAGGAATATTTACTGTTTACTAAATTTACTGTTATGTGCTAAGAATTGCAACTTTCAAGAA